TCGTTAAAATGCTTGTGAATTGATATTCCCATAATATCGTTCTTGTGTAATATATTGATATTCCCATATACATATCTGGTTGGTGGTATAGCTACCCCTCTGAAAAATCATGGAGTTCGTCAGTTGGGATGATGAAATTCCCAACATATGGAAAGTCATAATCCATAAATCCATTCATGTTCCAGTCACCACCAACCAGATAATATATATTCATATTCCATCATATTTCCCATATACAAGTATACCATATCCCATAGGATCCATGTATGTAACATTTACCATTAATATACCCCAAATGTTAGCATATATACCATACATGGATCCTATGGGTTATACCATCATCATATTCCCATACCATCTTAACATTCCCGAATCTTCCCATCGCGCCTGCGCCGCCGTGGCCTTCTTGGCACGTCCGGCGGTTGACGCGGTTGACGTCGGCGCGCGGGAGGAGGTCGAGGGCTGGGGCCTCAGGATTTCATGGTGACATTTGAAATGCGGGAACGAATCAGATGTATATATATATAATTATACATAAATAATATACATGTATAATATATAATATATAATATTGAATACATATATATATATATTATATATATCGGTATATATATATATAATGAATATTGGCAGTATGTATATATACATATATACACATTAAATACATTAAATGAGTGAAACTGACTAAGATTTGATGAAGGGAAATGTGGATTCAACTGAGAAAAAGACTTGTGATGTATCACATTTACTGCAATCAGTGACAACTGGGGAATTCGATTTAGCCAGAAAAAAATGAATGTCTTTCGTGAGGGTTATTCCGTTGGCACAGATTGCAGAGGTCTTAAAAGCTGACTGGGGTATAGTTAAAAATTCTACCATGCTAGAAAGAGTAATAAAAAAGAACCGGTGCTGGGTTGTTTATCTGTATACAAATTCAGTGATCCAGACACAAGAACATTCTTGGCTACCCAGCAAAAAAACAGTAGTGCGGTATTTCATGTGACCTTCATTTCCTGCTAGAATCAATCCATTAGCCAACCATTCACCAATACTGTTTCCCCAACAAACAACCCAACTATTGACGCCACATATCCCATTTTGTATGGTGTATACGACCATCTCAACCCACAAAAAAAGCACCAAACCAATCCATTTGGAGGTACCCGACCAGCCATGGCAACCCCCAGACGCCATGGCAACTGGCCATTTTCAGATGCCTTGGTTGCGACTGAACTCGGTCTGCAAGCCTCTTTCAGGCAGATTGCGACACGTGCGCGAGCGAAAACGCGAGTGGATCACGAGCGGATCACGAGCTCGTGACTCGTGACCCGTGACCCGAGACTACTTTCGGCATTGGCCAAGTGATCCAGTCGTGATCTGAGATCCGAGTCGTTCTGAAGATCCATGCCGAATGCGGATGGTTAAAGAATGTTGAAGATCAATGGGATTCAATTGGGATGTTTCCATGCGGACATACGGAGTCATACGCTTCTAATCATACGTTTCTATACGTTTCTAACATGTTCTAACCATTTTTCTAACCATCAGAGAATGGGTTTTTGCAATTCCTTGGAGATACACACTACCTTGCAAGCATGAAAGTACCTTCCATAGTCACATAGTCACTGGAACCCCTCGCCAGTGTGATATATTTATCTGTTCTTCGGGTTGCAGCACCATTTCTGAGGGCTAACTATGGCATTTCTTGGGTTTTCTTGGTCCCTGTTCCTGGTCCGCTTCTCTTTTGCCACTTCGCCATCTGTACAAACTCTTCATAAACCTACATGAAATTTGCGTCCTCCTTTCCGAATGGCGGAACGTCTGATCCAAGACCCTCTCGCGATTCATGTTTTTGTATGTTGATAAACCACAACTTGTGAACCGAATCAAACACGATTACCACACTGCTGATGCCAGTACTATTCAAAACCAAGTCTGCAACTGAAACGGGCTTATGACCAGGAGTTGACTTTGCACAACAGCGGGAAGAGCGCGCTAGCTGCTGTACCGTGACCGACCAGCCCTCCTACAAGACATGCAACTTTGAAACACCCAGCTTGCATCATTGCATCAAGAATTCGAAAACTGGGAAAAAAGAAAAAGAAAAAAAAACAATGTGATTCAGTTAAGTGATGTTAAGTGGCTATGAAAAACTGCTCTTTCAGATCAACAAAAACTGCCTTGGTCCCTGAGCGCCTCGCCACTGGCTTATAAAAAGCCTGGACCAAGGCCCGTTGGACAAATGGTGGATGAACCGCCAAATGCTTGGCTTTAAAAAAAAAATGTAGTTAATTAAGGACTATTCATTGCGTTTCACTGCTCAACATTTACTAAAATGGCTAAAATCTCCTGCCAGCAATGTTTAGAGATGTTGGTCCTCTTCAAAATGGCTTGGAAATCCCCGAAGTGAACTACGTGGAGGTTTATAGCTGGAAAAAAATCCGTACACGCTAGCGGTCACGAGCTGAGCAAGCCGCGCAAGCCGCAAAGCTTGTGTATTGATAGGGCCCACTGCCCACTGGGGAATGATCAAATGATCGAGGTGTTAAGGTGTCAAAATGTGTGTTGCCAACCGTGGTTAGCCTCTGATCATCAGCTGACCGAAAAATCCCAGCGAATTCGATTCTTGTCCCCATTGAAATGGCCATTTTAACCATGGGATTTCCCAGTGCTACGCTGGATTACTGGAGGGACTTCCTGATCTTGGACATAATTAGCGAGGTGCCCCCCCCCCGGGGCCCCGGCTAAGGTGGTTTTTAGGGTTAACGCTGGTTTATGGCAAATGGAGATAATGTGGGAAAAACAACGCCATAAACCACCCATGACTGGGAATGGTAAACACACCACCTATAAAAATGGTGATTTGGGGGTTGGTTTGTGGCACTGTTTTACCCACATTATAGGTAAATGGATGTAAATGGGGTGAACATGAACGCACACAACTGGGGGGGGCACCAAATCGTGGTTTTATTCCCGAGCCGCGACCATAAGAAATCAGTGTTGTGCACTGGATGCATCCTGCATCCCTCATATCCCCCTTGGGTCCCGTTTGTTGTTGGATATTGGGTAAAAATTACATAATGTAATATTCCTCGTTCTTGTGAGCAGCCGGCCCTGGATCGAATTGAAAAGTTCTCGCTGGGAGATCGATTGAAACACCTGTCAACCGGCCATGCGTTTGCTCGGAAAAAACATCCACAGCTGTTGTCCGGAAAATGGAACGGAACTGTGGAAAAGTTGCGGATCCCTCACATCACTTTGTTTGGAAATGCATCAATCGTCCCCTGTAGGGGAGAAAAACAATCATGAAACTGTCATGGTTGAAGTTTTGTTGCTCTTCGAGACTAGCACAAGTTGGTGTTCGACATGTCGCTTGCGTGGGGTTCTTGTGCAACAGCAATCGTCTCCAAATGTATATCAGAATAATTATTCTTGGGATATTCTTATAGAAATTCTATGGAAGTGCATATATTAGTATATATCGACTATATTCGGGAAATCTGATATATATCCCATAGGATCCATGTATGGTATATATGCTAACATTTGGGGTATCTTGATGGTAAATGTTACCATATATGGCATACATGGATCCTATGGGTATTATACTACGTATATCAATCTATATCCTATTGTTGGGAAATTCTATTCGTAGCTCCTATTGTGGCTCCCATCCTGAATAGACATCCCCAAGGGGCACTTAAGGGTCACTAAGATGACTAAGATCTGAAAAATTATAGGAAGATCACATCAATCTCCTTGATATCAAAAAAAATGTGATATGTAAAAAAAATATCATGGGATTGTGGGGATATAAGAAATGATATAAATGATATAAAAAATGTGATATACCACATGGTCATTCACAATCCCATGATTTTTGAACAACCTTGATCATCAAGATCCCATTTTGAATGGCCATGTGGTGTATCACATCTTCAGACACAAATCGTTGCCAGAGGCATATAATTCATATAACAACCGATATGGATCCATATGGGGTGTTCCTAAAATGGGGAATACACCCCCCAATAGCTGGATTTGTAGTGGAAAATCCCCCCAAAAGTGGATGATTTGGGGATACCACCGTTTTAGGACACCTCCAAATTATTGAAATTCAGCCATTTTGAGGGGACACCCTACTTTCAGACACAGCAAGTTGTCTCCAGAGCGTCTCGAGTGAAGGTTTACGTGGTTGGCTATGTTTGCCCAAGCGCAATGTTTAAAGATGATACAACAGTTGAAAAAACTAAATACATAATAATACTCAAACTCATGATACTGCAAACAATAATTATCATCTTAATATTGGTAATAGGATATAATAATAGCAATAATAGTAGTACTGTAGTAATAATAGTAATAGTAATAGCAATACTGATGATATAATCATACTCATCATGATGATTAAAAAATTAACAACATCTCAAAGTGATGGTTTGCCACTAACACTATGCACCCCTTTTCATCTGTGGGTCTTGAAACCCTGAAGTTTTAATCCATGTCAATGTCAAAATGAACAAATGAATGTCATCGTGCGTAGTTCTGAAGATCACAGGTGGACAGGCGTATCAAGCGCACTGCTGTGTTTTGAGCTAGGGGAAAACTGCTGCTCGCCACTCTCAGGCCGTCTTTGGCCATCTTTGCAAAACACAGATTTTGTCCAACTTCGGTTTGGGTCAAAATTGGCTACCACAAAACACGACATGGCCATAACTTACACCAATGATTTTGATGGATTTTGTTCACCAGCTAGAAACCGTCGGTTCCGTTTATTCCAAGTAGGCGCCGAATCGGAAAAAGCGACTTGGAAAATCTTGCCCCAAAACCACTTGGGTATGGCCGAAAATTGAGTGCCTCAATTATTAGATGGTTTCTACTATAAATCTGTGGTCCAGGTCTTGAATTTTGACCCAAAACCACTTGAAGATACTTGAAGAGCTTAAGTTTGTCTCACTGAACGCGCATCTTTTTGGAAGCGAAGTTCGTCACCCGTCTTGCTAACTCACAGGTCTCGCCACCGCCTGCGCGCATTTTGCCGTGGGCATTTTGCGGTGATCCATGTCCATTGCAGGACGTACCATCTTGGACCAACCAACACCTTGAGTGGGGGCAGCCCTGACTATCCCAAAATGAGCATCTAACCAGCAATTAATCGACTAAAACATGGCCTGACTCTAACCAAAAACTGGGTGTGTACGTAGTACGCGTTAAATATTGTCTAATTTATTTCAGTATACACCTAGAGTGGGCATGCAAGGACTTGACCCAAGTGTATGTGTTGTTTCGTTGTTTCAGAAAGTGTCGAAAAGAAAAACTCAATCCAGTAGAATCAATCCAAGAGCATCAAAAGTTGCTAAGCCCGTTCACGGGGATTTAAAACTTCCAAATGTGACAGCCCCAAATCATGGGTGGCTTTTTTCGCCAGGGATCCCCCCTTTTTTGCCGCCATTTTCAAAGGGAAAATGAGGCAAAAATGTCCATGGTTGCTTCGGGTAGCCTATTTTCAGACGGAATCCCACATCTGCGGATGCCCCCCCATTTTACAGGTTAGACACTCGGACACATTTCTTGGTTACACGCCAATTTCGTTAGTCAATTTTCTCATGATCGAAGTGAAACACCCCAAGTTAAACGTTGGTTCAATCGGTGTGACTTTGTCAACAGCATCGTATTCTTGATCCAGATCTGGAATGTCATGGCCTCAGACAAGAAAAATTAGTTGTATTCTTTGAAGCTTGCAATCCCATCGTCCTTGGGAGGGTCTTTGTTAGGATGGATTATAAGTAGGAATCCTAACATATTCAAGCAAATGGAGACAACTTGGATGTGCAGGACCTCAACCCTGTAAGTGGAGTGGGGATGTCACAGTCACATAAAATTACCAGTTACTAACAAAAATAAGCCACAAATAGCAACTGGATGTCAGTAACTGGAGTAACTAAAATAACCCACTAAAAATTGACGCAAAGCTGTCCTTTTGTTTGCCCCCGATGTTCGATGTGTGCGCCTCGAGTTCATTCTTCAGCTGTTCTTCGCGATCCAGCCTTGGTGGCTTCAAAGGTCCAAAGGTCCGTTTTTGGTCGTTGAAAGATCTGGAAAAATTCGAACAAGGCTGGACCAACAAGGCCTCAACAAGGCACAAGTTGTTGATGAATCTCACGAATCTCTTAAGTTCTTCAAACATGTGGAGACTCGTCCCATCATTAAAGTTCTTGTTGGAGATTGTAGGACGAGATGGGTGTCATCCAACCATCTTGGGCACCGCGAACGTCGCGACTAATCACCATACCAATGACTCTGGAGAAACCCCCAGTTTTGACATGTCTTCATTGGTGGCAACAAAAAAACGATGGAAAAACAACCACCAAATGCTGCGATTGCAGTGCCAAACGAATGAACCCGAAATATGGGCTTGTCTGGAATTATGGTGCCAAATTGTGAGGGCTAAATCATCAGTTTCCCCATGAACATGTGCCATATCTGGGGGGTTTTGCTGGTCTACCCAGCTGTTGGGCGCTTTTGGTATCCTTGGGTTCTGGTCAGCCAGAGCCCAGAAACATTTGCATAGCCAAGGGACTCAGATTGGATCTGTTTCAAGATTTGAAATCTGAGACATCTGAGACATCTGGACTCAGATTTATTTATTATCTGATGGTTGCAAATTGGCCCCGCAATTCTATAGAGAAAATCTCAGATATCACTGGAAACTGCCCAAAAACGGAGCCAATGATCAAATCTGAAGCAACGAAAGATCACAACCGGTGGTCACCAAGCTAGCTATTGTTGATGATCTCCAAATATTGTTGGTGAACCCTCACATTGCAAACTATGCTAAATTCCAACCGTTTTTTGCAGTTATGGCCCGAAATACCAGTTATTTTTATGGGATTAGAAGTGAGTTCATCGCAAAAAAAAACGATTTTTTAACTCCTGGAGGGTCCTAAGGTCTAAGATTATCATGAAATCATCCCATAGCCGTAGATAGCTGCTCAGCTTGGCGACGAGTCTTTGAGTTCCTTCATCAAGGCCACTTCCTGTCGCTGAGGCATGGAAGAATGGGCAATATGTATAATTATGTGTAATATATATATGTGTGTGTGTGTAAACATATTATATGTATCATATATATATATGTATTAAATACATTGTCTACTGGAAAAAAAATGTATGACTATATCAACTATATGGGAAAATCAACAGACATGTGGGTTTTATGGCAAACCGACGACGACTTAACCAGCAGAGAGTGGGGGTTAACGGAAAATGAACACTTTCTAAAAATTGCAATAATCCCACTTCGAAACTTGCAAGCAACGAAGGTAAGCCAAGTAGTGTCAAGTATCCCACGTGTTTCCCAACGATAAATGGGATAACACCACGATTCGTTGTCAGCGTTCGGCAGGTTCATGTCTTGGAATGATCCCCCAGTACGTCTAGGTGACAAAAATGCTCATTTACGCTGCCTAATAGTTCTAGGATGTAACCCAACAAGAACGGTCTTTAATTGGTCTTTAATGGTCTTTAATGGTCTTCAAACCAGCTTTAAAAAAAATAGGGCTTGGTAAATGTCCTCGGGTGATACGGCATCTCCAACTCACAATGGAGCAGAAACAGCAACTCAATCGTGGGATGATGAACGAGGGATGATTGAATTAAGGAATAACCTCGTTCATAGGCCCCTACTTGCAAATGAGGTCAGATACGCCAGATACGTGTGTGTGTGTGTGTGGGGTGAATGAATGCATATATAATTGTATGTAATCATAGATTTAAGTGTGTAAACGTGTAATTATATTATATATATATATAGACTCAAGCGCTCATATCTGATTGGTGGTTTCAATGCCCATGAAAAATGTAGATGAGACAAAGGAGACAAAAATCGGATTCCCATCCGTCGGAAAAAAAAAAAAACGTCCAAACCATCAGAGCCATTATATCCCTATATATATATACTATTGCCATTGTATCATGATTTCACGAAATGTCCATAGTTGTATTCCTCATTCCCATGAAATATCTGGGCAAGTAGTAATTCACCAACCTGAAATAAGGTGATTTCGGCATACGTCCCCATATATAATGGTTTATGGGAGAACAGTGAGGTCGTTATAAATTACCCTCTGGTAAACTAACATATAGCTATTGAAAATGGCCGTAGAAATACTTGATTTTCCCCTGAAAAATGGTGGATCTTTCCAGTTCGTTATATAAACGTTTACCAGAGGGTACCCAGATGATCTTCGCACTTCCCGTGGTGAATCCCCGCTACAAGAATCATCCAATGCCGAGCGTCATGCTTTCGCGAGGCCGTCAAGTCTGCTGCCACCTGAGAGTGGCTTAACTTGAGGTGAAGATGGTGAAAAGCATCAAAAGTTGCGACAAGGATGGGATTTAAGCACCATTTTGATATTTTGTCATGGTGAAGAATTGGATGTCAACTTCAAAAATGATCAAAAACCATTGGCATTTTTTGGTATCTGACATCAAAGAAAGGGAAAACATGGGTAGCTAACCATTAGATAACGGATTTTAATGATTTAAGCGTTCTGAATTTTTGCGCAGATGGGTCTGTCTGAAAATGGGTAAATCAGGTATTCAGCCAACTCTTTTTTGGTCATTTCAATTGGGACAATGATAATTAAAGAATAAACTTGGAGAGGTACCCTTTTTCCAAAGCAAACCCTTGCTATTTGGTTGAAATCATCAGAGGGCGATACCCAAGTAGCCAAGGCCTTACCAACCAAGGGAGGATTACCAGCGTACCATACCGCTGTTGTGTGAGCAGCTGGGAGGCCCTGCGGTGGTGGCCTTTCTCAGCGTCTCATCCAAACGCTCAGCCAACTGTTCCTGGCTACGGATTGGAGGTCTGAAAATAGAGGATTTAGCCCCCAAGAATTGTGGTTTCACATTGAAAATAGAGGATTTAGCCCCAAGAATTGTGATTTCACATCAAGATTCAAGCATCAAAGATGGTGAAGACTTGGATGTCACATGATTTAACCATCAAACGTTGTGGAGCACTGCATCAAAAATGGTGGAAACCTTAGGATTTAACGATCAAAAAGTTGGACATTTAACCAATGCATAGATGGCTTTGGTTCATATGGAGGATGGACCTCCATGAATCCCAGCGGCTTATCGCTGGAAAATCATATGGGCAGCAGGGTGAACTGAGCCATTTTTTGAGGGACCTCACGATCAACCGATGTTCATCGGGGCCATGAGACCAACCCATTTTTGTTTCGGTCCATCTCGATCGCGCTGCCGCACGGCAAAGCTGTGCTTTTTTACATTTTTCAGAACGTGTCATTTTTGCGGGTGGCAGTCATGTCAAAGATTCCAAGAATATTAAACGGAAAATCAACAGGGATCCCCATTCCCCTGGTGGTTTTTCCCATCGAAAATACCGTGGATTTAAGGGGAAGTGATGTGAACGACACACGCTACGGGTTGGTTTCAAAAAAAGTGCCCCAATACCCGAGGGTTTATCATCATTTTCCCTATCAAAGATGTTAAAATGATTTAAACTTGCTATAACTTAGAAAAAAAAGTAGGCATCAAATGTATACATATATATGTATATATATATATATTGGCTATATACATGTACATATACAGTCTCAGGATGCCAAAAAAAACATGTCGAACCATGTCAAACCACCACAATTTTGCTGGGAAAAAAACAGGTGTCCCATTCAGAAAACGATCTACATTCACGATGGGTTAAACAACATCTATGAGTAATACATATATATATATACTCTATCTAAATTATATACTAGAAGTCATTGTCTAATCAAATTGTTGGATTTATAGTATTATAAATCCCATGAAGTATAGTGATATACTAGTTCTATACCCCATAAACACCAATCTACTTCAACAAATTGTAAATCGCTATTAAATATCATTAAATCCTAAATGAATCCGGGTTGACATTTGGGGGGAGACCTTGTGCAGGGACTTTGTAGCTACAATCCAGCGGGTCACAGGGTCAGATCCTACAAAATGGAGTCCTGGGTAGCAAATAAAGACCCTACAAAATGCAATTACCAACTATGGATCATATCCCAAACGGATCACTACAAAATGTTTCTCTCCTGATATCGTAATTCGATATAATTCGCATATCTCCAATCCATTTCATTGACAAAACATTTTATAGTCTGATGCTTCTTCCCCCAACAAGACATAACATAATCACACACAAAACATTCTGTAGCACGCGCTTTTTTGGGGGAGCTGTCATTTTGTAGTTGTCATTGATTGAATTTGATTGGATCAAGTGTTGACCCCGTGCAGTTGTTAGATACGATTCTGTACTGGCAGCGGGCTAATAATAATTATAGGTTACGCACTGGCAGCGAGTTCAATTACAGGTTAGGTAGTGGCAGCGGGTTCAATTACAGATTATGTATTGGCAGCGGGTTCAAAATAATATAAAATAATTACAGGTTATGAAGATCATAAGAACCGCTCAAAAACAAATAAACAAAATGTAGTTTAAACATACATTTTTTCAACAAATAAGGCTTGGCAGTCCAAATCAGCCGAATACAAGTAAATACAACCTTGGGATTTCAATCGGTTTCTAAGAATTAACCTTTCAAGAGGTTCTTTACCAGGATTGTCAGAGCTATGGGGCAACAAAAACGATCTAAGCGCACAACTTGAATTTCAATTGAGGTTGGTTTTGAAACCAAATCTGTCCCATATTTTCCTTCTTACAGTCTCTAAATAAAATGGATTTGTTCGAACTTTTTTGGGCTCATCTGGGGGGGACGCAGTAGGTTCTACAAAATGCTTGTGCACGTGTGTGTTACTACAAAATGCAGTGCGCATGACAAATGTCATCCAGAAACCAGGACATTTGCTCTAGAATGAGGCTGCTTCAAGGGGGGTTCCAAGAATCACCCCTGCAAAATGCCAATCACGCATCGAATCTGTGCTTTGTGGCTGAAAGGAACTCTGAGCATGGATTCTTTGAACTTGGGTTAAAACTGACTATTGGACAAAAAGAGCAGGAACGTAGTAGAATGGGATACATTTGTATTAGAAATAGTAACCGCATGTAATCGCAAAAAAGTTCGACAAAAGCGCGGCTCAGATTTTTTTTACTGCAATCGTCAGAGCTATGGGGCAACAAAAACGGTCAAAGCGCACAGCTTGAATTGCAATTGATAAGTTTTGAAACCAAATCTGTCCCATATTTTCCTTCTTACAGTCTCTAAATAAAATGGATTTGTTCGAACTTTTTTGGGCTCATCTGGGGGGGACGCAGTAGGTTCTACAAAATGCTTGTGCACGTGTGTGTTACTACAAAATGCAGTGCGCATGACAAATGTCATCCAGAAACCAGGACATTTGCTCTAGAATGAGGCTGCTTCAAGGGGGGTTCCAAGAATCACCCCTGCAAAATGCCAATCACGCATCGAATCTGTGCTTTGTGGCTGAAAGGAACTCTGAGCATGGATTCTTTGAACTTGGGTTAAAACTGACTATTGGACAAAAAGAGCAGGAACGTAGTAGAATGGGATACATTTGTATTAGAAATAGTAACCGCATGTAATCGCAAAAAAAGGTTCGACAAAAGCGCGGCTCAGATTTTTTTTAGTGCAATCGTCAGAGCTATGGGGCAACAAAAACGATCTAAGCGCACAACTTGAATTTCAATTGAGGTTGGTTTTGAAACCAAATCTGTCCCATATTTTCCTTCTTACAGTCTCTAAATAAAATGGATTTGTTCGAACTTTTTTGGGCTCATCTGGGGGGGACGCAGTAGGTTCTACAAAATGCTTGTGCACGTGTGTGTTACTACAAAATGCAGTGCGCATGACAAATGTCATCCAGAAACCAGGACATTTGCTCTAGAATGAGGCTGCTTCAAGGGGGGTTCCAAGAATCACCCCTGCAAAATGCCAATCACGCATCGAATCTGTGCTTTGTGGCTGAAAGGAACTCTGAGCATGGATTCTTTGAACTTGGGTTAAAACTGACTATTAGACAAAAAGAGCAGGAACGTAGTAGAATGGGATACATTTGTATTAGAAATAGTAACCGCATGTAATCGCAAAAAAAGGTTCGACAAAAGCGCGGCTCAGATTTTTTTTTACTGCAATCGTCAGAGCTATGGGGCAACAAAAACGGTCAAAGCGCACAGCTTGAATTGCAATTGATAAGTTTTGAAACCAAATCTGTCCCATATTTTCCTTCTTACAGTCTCTAAATAAAATGGATTTGTTCGAACTTTTTTGGGCTCATCTGGGGGGGACGCAGTAGGTTCTACAAAATGCTTGTGCACGTGTGTGTTACTACAAAATGCAGTGCGCATGACAAATGTCATCTAGAAACCAGGACATTTGCTCTAGAATCCCGGATCTAAATGATCTAAATGAACATCAAGTTTCATGAACCATCATGAACCCATTTTCCGTAAGCAAACCATAAAATTCTGTGGTTTTTCCGCTGGCACAGCACCTGAGCACTGAGAGCATCCGCCAAGCGTTGCGCTTGATCCTGACACCGTGAAAAACGGATCGGAAACTCGCCACAGCAAACGGGTCCAATTGCTTTATTGATGGGACAAATCAGCTATAAATGGAGGTTTTAATGGGGAAAAATCATCTAAAAATAGAGGTTTTAATGGGAAAAAACATCGAACTAAATGGGGGATGTCCCATTGCCAAGTGGCCACATCCTGATTCGGCACTACATATGTCCAGGCAAGTAGGTCAGAAACCAACCTTTTCGATGTTCGTCCAAACATTGTTGGAGGAACCCTTACGTTGACTCACATGATTCCGGTCAACAGCAGCAACAACAACAACAACAACAACCAACAACAACAACAACAACAACAGCAACAACAACAACAACATCAAATCATCATCATCATCATCAACATCATCATCATCATCATCCTATCATTCCCAGTGTTGCTATTAATCATTGTGCGAGGCTGCGATTGAAAAGGAGGACTCAACAAGGTTCAATAGCCATCTTCAAATGTTGCCATGTATTATCCATGTGGGTTTGTGTCAACATCAGGAGCCTCAAATCCACTGCCTAATCAACTCATCTTCCGGAAAGGGGAAAAAAAAAGGTCCAGAGGTATCAGCAAATTTCGATCCATCCAAATATATCAGCCATTTCTAATTATATAGTCAATCATTTAAATAGCCCATGGTTCCCCTTCAAATTACCCTCTGGTAAACGTTTACATAACTATGGAAAATCACCATGTTTCATGGGAAAATCCACTATAAATGGCCATTTTCAATGGCTATGTAACAAATTGCCAGAATCATCGTGTGGTTTTATCGAAACTCATCGAGCTTAGCTCCAAGTGAGTTTCCATGACATGTGGAGAATCTACCATATCTCTAAATGGCTCCCTCCATTCACCTTGTTGGATGGTTAGATCCCCATGGTTAGACTAGCTAGACACTATAGGAATCTAGAGGAATCTTTAGAATCTGGTTGGTGGTGCAATAACCATCTTGAAAAATATGAGTTCGTCAATTGGGATACCATTATTCCATATATGAAATGGAAAATAAAAAAATGTCCCAAACCACCAACCAGATAAAGTATCTCAAAATAGGATGACCCCTGAGTTCGGAGTCCCGCATTTTAAGAAACCCCCATCCAAAAAAATACCCATGTCCCATCCTAGTATACTGGTTGGTTTGCACAAATTCCTCACAAGTGGTTTTCACTGATCCTCATTAAACCAGGTAGGTTACGAACACCCTGTTACTTAACCCATCAGCCCGGTATGGTTCTTTTCTGGCTCCCATTTTTTGACCAAATCCCCTGATTCATCATCTTGTTCTCTCATCATCTTGTTCTCTCAAAGTTCAATCCGCCATCTTCAGATTTTGCGCAAATATCCCTTATGGGAGATGGCAACTTTACCCATGGTTTAATGGGATTTTATGGTGGCTTAATGGCATTTAATGGTGGTTTAATAGGGTCTAATGGGAATTTTAATGGCATCTGGTTGGTGGTTGACCTACCCCTCTGAAAAATCATGGAGTTCGTCAGTTGGGATGATGACATTCCCAACTGAATGGAAAAATAACAAATGTTCCAAACCACCAACCAGTCATGATCCATGGGTTACATTCTATGTGTAGTAGTTCAAATTTCCCATGTCTAACCATGAAATTCATGGCTATCTATACATTGGGGGTACTGGCTCATGTGACCTACCAGAGCTAAAACCCTTATATATATATATATTTGGCAGTAGTATATAATTGAAATAACATCAACAGCGGTACTATTAAAGAAAACAATACCATCAGGTAATTCAACAGTTTGCTATTGAAAATTGCCCATAGAATTAGCTTCTTTACCTATTAAACATTGTGATTTTCCAGTTTGTTATGTAAACGTTTACCAGAAGGCAATCGTATGACCCCGGATCCGCAGTGACCTCCAGCTCTCTGCTAAGCTGCTGCTCTCGCTGCTGAGACTCCTGGCACTTTGGACAACAAGCTCTTCAACCTGATGACTATTGGAGGAGTACCCCCCTAATAAACTATGATTTATCAATCCGGGGTTGACATTATATATGTAGTACATCAATTTGTATGTAGCAATGTAGATATATGTACACATCTATACATGTGGACATGTCTATGTATCTATATATATATACTTGTACAGTACACATCAAGGAAATCTTAGGGTACCATTACCCCGAAGACCCCCCTTCGAAAGGCTTAGTCCAATTTTGATGGTGAACTCCCAGTTTTGATGGTCAATTTCCCATTTGTCATGGGATCCATTTGCTCAGAAAATGTTGAAATGGCCCGGCCACAACATGCCACTGCCTGCAGGTCAATCGAGAGCGCTTGTTCGCGTTCGAGTGCTGCTGACAGCTGACCCTGTCCGCCAGTCGCGGTTCATTTGCGACTGGGGATGTGTTCAAAATTGGGGGATGTCACATAATTACAAGTTTGGAGGATGACAATTACTGTGGGTGGGCCAGCGAAATCCAAATCACCAGTTGATAGGTGGCTAATCCCATTATTTATAGGCTTTCAACCATCCTTTTGGTGGTGTAGATCCACAAAACCTTGAACAGCAACTTGATACCCTTCGGTAGTCAAAGATGGGAAATCCCTCAACTCAATGGAGGTTGTAATGGGGGAAAATCATCTAAAAATTGAGGTTTTAATGGAGTTTTGATGGGAAAATCATCGAACTAAATGGGGCATGTTCCCATGTTTGATTACCGGAGGGTATCAAGTACATACTCATCTCTGCAAGAGATCCCAATGTGTGTGAGCAATCAAAACCGAGACCCCAAAAATTCACGGGTTTGGGTTATCAGATGTGATTATATTATATACTTCTACAGTAAGTTGGTTGGTTAGGTTGGCGATATGTCCATTTATTTGTTGACAAAAGTCGATTCTCTTCTCTGGTACCAAATGAAAACATCAGCATCATCAGCCACTTGTCGGTGACACAATCCTAACATATTCAGATTTAAAACACACATCACATGAACATGGTAGGATTATGAAACTGAAGTGGGTTTCAAAATCTTTAAGTTTGAAACATGCTAGGATTTTTCAACCATAAGATACCACAATCAGGCTTCTGAAAATCACTTCCGAACCGAATGTTGGTTAACCACTATGGGTGTTAACTTGGGATGTTAACTAACTATAGTTAACACCCATTGTTAACCAAATAGTTAAACCAATGTTGGTTACCCAGAGTTAATGGTGTTAACTAACTATAGTATAGTTCATCCATGGTTGACACGCATCGTTAGTTCCTCCATCATTGTCACTTTGAAACTTTCGCGAAACTGGACCCGCCTGAAGTTCGGCCTCCCTGGCTCTCGACCTGGGTGATGTGAATATTGGTGTATCTATTGTTTCAAGATTCACACAACTAATATATGATTGTTGATGTTGGTTATCTATATATATATGTATATATGTATAGGTATGTTATAACCAACATTAATGACAACAATACAGTATATATGTATGTATGTAACTACAATAGTTTTTTATTGTATATATATATATTAAAACAATAAAAAAAATGATAATTACAAATTTTTAGTGTACATTGTACATATACAATGCTGGTTTATCTATTGTATATATATACGTATATATAACTTATATAGATACGACTTAAATATAATTAGAATTGTATAATATGGTAAAATATTCTATATAACTTAACCCCCATGAACTAGTTCGATATATGAAAAGCCAAAGGGCGATTTTCATCACCTTCTCGGGGATCAACCGATCAACCAATGATGGGATAGCACATCATAGCCGGTTAGATCCGGCCATGAGAAAATTCATTACCCTCTGGTTATTTAACATAGCTATGTTAGATAATCAGAGGGTATATACTAAAGCATATATTAAATCATACATTAAACCATCTATCAAATATATACCCTCTGGTTATTTAACATAGCCATGGTATAGATGGCCCATAGAAATAGATGGTTTACCTATTAAACATGGTGATTTTCCAGTTCGCTATGCTAAATAACCAGATGGTAAAGGCCATAGAAATCAACTGACCTTGGATACCCTCCTGCCATGGCGGAAATTTCATGGGAAATCCCATATTTCCAGAAGAGTTTCCATTGGGGGTATCCACGGAAAAAACAGACGCCACCAGGATTCTTTTGGGGTTTTGAGTCAACCAATATGTGGTCATGTAACAACCAGATTAGGGTAGGGATCAAAACCTATGATTTTCCATATTCGGATTGGTGAACATTTCAATTACCCAATTACCAAGTGATATGTATTTATACCCTAGATGATATTTTCACTTTTATGTAAATCTAAAAATCTATATGATCACTTATACACCCTGTACTCGTTAAGAGAAACGAGTAGCCTTTATCAGTAGCTGGATATTTCTACAGTATATTACTCTCTATCACAAATGCTTTTCTGGAAATCTAGCGAAAACTCAACAGTTACTTTGGATCACGATTCCCCAATGAGGCTGCCATCGTCATAGACATCAACCATCCCAGCACCCATGGCTGGTAATGATAGCCATCCCAACCAGAGGTATACCAGTACGCCCGATAATAAACCAAATTTTTAGGATGGTTTACGATCATCGGTTTGCCTTTTTTTCACGTTTAGAAAAAGATGTGTAAAGCCGAGTAGTTCCGACGAAAAGCGTCCATGACGCTTGATTTTCCACATCTTTCCGTATGTTTACCCTAGGGTGGGATTCCGATAGTATTCCCACTACCCTCTGGTAAACGTTTACATAGCTATGGGAAATCCCCAACTATTCATAGAAAAATCAACTATTTCTATGGCCATGGTCAATAGCTATGTTAGATAATCAGAGGGTATATACTAAAGCATATATTAAATCATACATTAAACCATATATCAAATATATAATCATATATTATATTCCATCTATTAAACCGTATTTCCATGGATCCGAGAGCGCCAACTCAGTGAGTGCTGTGATGAGCTCCGCCATCTGCTCAGTCGAGTTGTCTAAGGCCGCCTGCAAGGCAACCTGCACGGTAACATGAGAGAAGGTATGATGTGCGTATGTCTACATATACGTGTATATATATACACATATATAAGGAGAGAGAAGAAGAGAGAGAGTAGTATGAGGAGAGGAGAGAGAAGAGAGAGAAGAGAGAGATAGAGATATATAGTAGAGAGAGGAGAGATTATATATAAGATTAGATTATATATATTTATATTATATATATTATATATGTATATATATATATATATGTATATTATATATTATATTATATATATATATTGTATATATTATACATTATTATGTGGAATCATATATAATTATATAATATATATATATACATATGTGCGCGTGTGCGACATGTGTATAGATTATGTCACCAACACCAAGGAATGGGTGTACACCAAGATCGCCATGTAGACGGCATCCCTCATTTTTGGACAAACTCATATTATATCCCGTGATTGCTGCCAATGCTGCCATTCTGGCTATACTCTCAGATGGTCATAATTCTTGACCAGTGTTGTCTTACATTTGCCTGTCCCAAAGAACAATTATATATATATAAACATAAGATCGATTCCCCATTTTTGGTGGATTAAATGATGAACCTATCGAGCTATGACCTAGGCGATCACCCAAGAATTGGAATATGGTGAACCGTTGGTCATGGACCCATCGAGCCACCACCCGTCCGCGTCCGTTGCCGTCCGTAGGCCGCCTCCCGCTTCTGAGATTCAGCGAGCTCACGACCGTATGCCTGGCAAATCCCAACGGAGTCCATGAAATCTCCATTTTCAAGCATTGAAAAAACAACAACTCCAAGCAGAAAAAATCAAAACCGACAGCAACAAAAAAGGCACCCAAAAAAACGAGCGCCAAAATTGCGCGCGCCTGGCCGTCTTGTTCCAGCTGTTGCAGGCGCAGCAAGAGTTGATCACGCTCTTTCCGCAGGGATTCCATCTCCTGCGCGACTGGGACCATTCACCGGTGCTGAAGATATTGGGTAGGTTACATCATCTTAGCCTTGGGTCATTTAACATGTGGTATAGATGGCCTATTTAGTTCGATGATTTACCTAGTCAAAAAATTGGGACTCTCCATAGCGAACTGTTTAATTGCCAGAGGGTATATGGAGATTCCCAATTTCCCCATTTTGGGGGGATTATACAATTCATGGGATTATTTAAAATAAAAAAAAACATGTTTTTGGGGATTTTGCCCTTAAGATGAGGTATGCAGTTTTTGCATCACCAAGCATTGGGATCTTGAACTTGCAAAAACTTGGGATTCTTTGCCAGCAAGCTTGGGGTTTTGATTTTAGTTGATGGAAATTCATAGGGACCCTTAATGAAACCCCCAATCTATTACTACGCCCGTACTACTCCCATGTTCGAAAGCCCAATAGTATGGGAAGATTGTGGGAATGAAGGTCCCATCATTAGGGGGCCCTATAATTTTTGTGGATTTAAGTAACAAAACTTGGAAATTCCTGGTACTGTACATCACAACCAAATTCCGAATCTTGAGAGCATAGAAGCATCAAAATTGAGGTTTTCACCAACAGTTCAAGGATCTGAATTCAAGAAAGGGTTGCAATGGTCCTGGTCAAGAACTGCAACGACATCAAATATCATCCAATATCATCAAAAAACGTCAATTTTTTTCAAATATCACATGTAAAAATAAGTCTGCTGGCAATGATATCATTCGGGTGCCTAATGGCAAGCATTTACCCTACAAATAGCTTGTTAAATCAGAGGTATACCCAATGGCTGACATCCGTCGCGCTCCTCCAAGTCCTTTGGTCGCACCACATCGGCGTTCTTCAGGTCTTGCTCTCGTTGGATCTCGGCGTCGAACGAATGAGGATTTGATGATTGAACGACCCTCTGGTTATGTCAAACATAGCTATTGAAAATGGCGATTTATAGTGAGTTTTCCCATTAAAAATGGTGATTGTCCAATAGTTACGTTAGTTTACCAGAGGGTAATAAAAATGCCACAACAAATCTTAGAATACTAGTATCATATTGGGTTTACATGAAATTGGGGGTTACCACTAGAATACGTTTCTAAACGACAATTAAGATAGGCATTCTGAACGGCATCCCCATAGTAATGAACTGCAGGGTTTTTTCCTCATCCTGGGTTAACATCAAGTCACTGCAGACATCAAGATGGTGCCCAGTAATGTTTGTTGGTTTATATGAACCCCATTAACTATAGACGATGTGTCCCCTATAAACGAGACAAGTTACAAGTTAAAAATCATGACCCCATTGACTGTAGACGAGTTTTGACACGTAAACAGTTAGAGTAAGAAAAACATAGAAAAACCATGTTATATCTAATATCGCTATTTCCCTCACTATATGAGCGATTTAAATCAACTTAGTTATATATCCAACTTAGCGATTTAGCTCACTCGAGCACCACCGGATGGGTCAACTGGGTCAATTCCTCGGGTGCTGTGGCCACCCTATGTCGGGTTTCAGCTAGATCGGCAGGACATCCTGAGTCGAAGTCCTGGTCTCTAGGACCCTAGGAACTTCCGATGCTTGTTGCTTAGCGGCTTAGCACCCCATGGGATGTTGCTAAAAAACCAAACAGTCAGTCTAAAATCTCTTCAACCAAACCAATGGGATTCATGTGGGATTTTCCATCATGAACATCCTAATTATGGCTGAATTAGAATCATTTACTCACCTCAAAAAACAACAACGGCCGTTTGAAAAAAAAAACAGATACCCCAGGCCCATGTTAGTCCTTTGGATGAGGCGGGATGATCGGTAAAAAGCTATGCGTCCGGACCAGGTCTTGCACTTGACGTTTCAACTTCGTTTCAGAATCCTGCAGGCCTTCCAATTCCTGGCGGCTTACCATGAGAAAATGCCCATCCTATCCTGGTTTTTGACATAGAAGCCCCCTCTGATTTCCGAAAAATCAAGAAAAATCATCCCCCGAAATTCAGCCATGAGAAAATCACGCCCTAAGTTCATCCATGTAGCTTACCCTCTGCCTATGGAAAATCATCATGTTTGCTAGTTGAATCAACTACAAATGGCCATGTTCAATACATATGAGGGTCCTAAAATGGAGGATCCCCCAGTTACCATAGGTCCTCCATGACGACTGGATGATTTGGGGTACCCTGCGGGGGCTCTGAAGGCTCGGTCATGCAGTGGAACATCAAGATTTATCATGAGAAGTAATACCATCATAATCTATGATCATTCGGGATATCTACCCTCTGGTAAACTAACATAGCTATGGAAAATCAGCCTTTTAATAGCTAAATCATCTATAAATGGTCCATGTTCCATAGCTATGTTAAATTACCAGAGGGTATCCATATCTATCCCCAGTAATAAAATCATACTCACTCTCCATAGACATGACACGCAGCACCAAACATAATTGACAAGCTGATTCTCACCCGCCAAGTGAAGCAATAAACTGGAGATGTTATTACAATTCAATAACATCCTGAAAATTCCATGGGAATCCACAAGAACGCAATGGACATAAAATTCCCATGGGCATTCCATGTTCAGTACAGGGGGATTGTCTGTGGCATCTGGTTCACCTCATGATTATCTGCTTGATGCTTGCGCCAACCCCTCTGAAAAATCATGGAGTTCGTCAGTTGGGATGATGAAATTCCCCAAGATATGGGGAAATAAAAAATGTTCCAAACCACCAAACAGATACATATATATATATATAGTGTATACATATATATATATACATATATATATATATACATATACATATATATATACATATATACATATATATATATATTATTGGGATGTGTGCTGTTTGCCATATATATATACATATGTATGATCTACTTATTATTCGTGTGGGTAAACTCACCCTGAAGCATGAATTGTTCACCACGCTTCGCCCTTTTGGATGATCCTCCCACTCAAACTGTGAATAGCAAGTGGCTTCTTTCATATGCTTGTTACCCTCCAGTAAACATCAATGGGAATTATGATTTCCAGTGAGGGAGAACAGTGAGGTCGTTATAATTTACCCAGATCTATATACATACCAGTGATGGTATTGGTATATAGATGGTATATACCAATGATATTTGCATAGAAAATCCTTCTGGGATATGATCAATGGGAATTCCAGGATCCTAAAATGGAGGTACGTTAGTACCATATTTTTGACCATTTTTTGTGGGGATATTCCCTTACATAGGCCTGAAAAATAGGCCTTATATATGCTACAGTACCTCCATTTTAGGATCCTGGAATTCCCATTGATAAACATACATTTGTTAAAAGATAAAGCATCAAAAAGCTATGGAAAATCCACGGTTTCCCGGTAAATGATCTACTTTTTTTGGTGAATCTTCTGATTTTCCATAGCTTCTTCTGCTCCTGGACCCAACATACCGTAACTACCGTGGTCTCCCTCAACGATCCGCCTCTGAAACACTTTCGTACCTTTCGTGCGGAAGCCGTGCGGAATCCGTCGCGCGACGGAGATGTATCAGGTACAGTACCCATGATGTATACTGTCTGTCGTCTAATATAACTATTTTATACAATATATATATATATATACAGTATATACATATTATATATATATATATTTGCATATTATATATACACACATATTTGTGTTTGTCTAGGTTGCTCTGGTATATTTGCAGCGTATTGACCCAAGTAAATATCTTATGTACCCCCTTCATAAACGTATGGTATGCTCACCTGTATATCTACCAAAACAAAACTAATGCAGTTGCAAGGAAGAAAAGGCAATGAATCAAGCGGTATCGGGTATGGGTGTTTTTGCTGTTCCCCCAACGGTTCCCTGTTCCTGCAAAATCCCGGAAGTGCTGCCAGAATCCATCAGTGTACAGTTTCTGTATGCTGTGCCCCATTCTTGGAGGTATGAGCAATGTGGTAAACCCAGTACCGAACCATACCATTCCCAAGTTAGTTTGCCATTTGGATTCTTTGATAAACATGGAAAGTTGGAGCGCAATGAAGATTATATACTGGGTTATCATTAAGATGCTTGGACTCAGAAGCCTCAAAATGCCTTGGACTAGGTATATTATCATCGGATTGATACGATCTTCAAATATGGAATCCAGAAAACCATGGGGTTCAATACTAAAATGGTCATCCATGACGGCTGGATGATTTGGGGTACCCCTATGACTCAGGAAACCTCCATATTTCTTGTTCCATACCCAAAGGTTATTTATTATTGTCACCCTAGCCGGGCTCCCCGAAGAAGAAAGGAAGTGGGTCACCCTGGGTCACCCTCGGTCACCCTCGACCAACAAGGCATGGTTGGGGTCTTTTTGAAACCCCAATCAACCCTCATTAGCTTCTGAAACCTTGTGGGATCAACCCAGCTCATTTCTCCAGGTGACTGTTGTCTTGCCGTCTCCAAGGCAAACTTCAACTCGCGCTCTTGCTTCAAGGCTGCCTGGCATCGGCCCTTTCTGGGCACCTCAAAAGAGCCTCAAAAGCCTGTCTTTAGAGCAATATGGTCCTGTCCTTTTAAGAAAAACACACATCGGGGCCGGTTTGGTATGCTTTTATTAGCATCTACCAATCAAGGTTGGTTTTCATAGTGGAACCATCGCTTTTTATCAACCAGTGGGGAATTTGACATCTATGCTTTAGACTGACGACAAAAACGATGATTTCAGGGAAATCATCCAATTTTCCATGGGATTTTCCATGAAATAAACCATCCAGCGATAAACAAATAGAGGAAAGAAAGTTCTCTTGACAACAAAAGGCGTACCTCTATTTATGGACCCCCCCACATCATAAGTCCAAAACCAGTGGCCTTTGATTGGCGTTTTACACCGTCAACAGGGCGAGCCCCACTGGCGTCGGCTCAAAAAATACCACATTTTCATCATCTCAATGGGGCTGAAAACTTAGCCATGTTTACTCACCATCTTTTGGTGATCACAATCAGTTTATGGTTAACGAAACTTAAATGGTAAAAACCCATGGAAAGTTCTTCAATACCCTCTGGTAAACGTTTACATAGCTATGGAAAATCACCATTTTTTATGGGAAAATCCATTATAAATGGCCATTTTCAATAGCCATGTTAAGTTACCAGAGGGTATTTGGAAAGTTTTACTTGGAACATCTTGGAACCAGGAGAAGTCAAAAATCCACCACTGCCGCCGCGTTGCAGTGAGGCGTTTGCCCAGCAAACCTTCCCGCTCCTGCTTCAGCGGCAGGAAAAGATGGCAACAGGATCTGAACTGATTTCTGGATGGGATTTCTGGTCACTTGCAGATAGATCGGATAGATCAATGATGATCACTTCGGAGAAATTCTGAAGTACATTGAAGATATTGAAGTACCAATATGGGCTTAAACTAAGGCCATCTTGGACTATCATCCAGGAGTACTGAAAGCTGCAGTCCCACCAGGTTCTCCTGCAGGGCTGATGATCTGGATGTTACGTGTGTCCCGCTGTATCTTCAAGTCACTTACCCTAGGGTAAGCATACAAAAAGATGTAGAAAACATTGGAAAACCCCGTGGTTTCCGGTAGGAAAATGATCTACACATTACTGGGCTTTCCCCCACATCAAGGTTAGTTTACAGGCTTACAGGAGGTAAACCAAAAGGGAGAGTACCCTCTGGTAATTTGTTACATAGCTATTGAAAATGGCCATTTATAGTGAGGTTTCCCATTAAAAATGGCGATTTTCCATAGCTATGTTAGTTTACCAGAGGGTATTGTGTGCATTTCCACTCTTGAAGATACCCTGAAGACAACTTTTTACGCATGTTTTTGAACATCCTCCACATACATCTGGGGATTTCCCTTTCCCATGTTTGATTGCAACAATGGGTATATAAAGCACCAGTATGAATACAGCTATGAATATAGTAGCTACTTTTTCCACAATTGGTTTAGTAATATTTCATCTATAGTTACCCCCCCATATTATTTCACCATTTAAGAGTAGCCATCCAAGCTTGACCCAGCGCATGGAGAAATGCTCCTCAGATTCCTGAAGTCTCTCCTGCACTTGGGAAAAACCTCACAGATCCCACGGCAAAAAAGCGATCGGCGCTCGAATCTTGGGATCTTGGTGGTACCCCAAAATCCAATGATGATTATCATTGCTCATTAAAAAAATCCATTTGGGGAGACTCTTCATATCCAGTTGTGATGAATATTTCAGCCAATGGCCAACCAACCATGAACATCATGAACCCCTTGTTCTGAACCAGTCAGAAATCCACTTCTTAGGCCTTCCAGTCCCAAACAGGTATATAATATGATCTTCCCCCCAAGCGAAAAGTCACCGGTCAATTTACCCTTAAGTAGCTCATTGTTGGTGGTGAATCTCCCCCTTTGAAGCCGCTTATCCTCTCTGCTAATCAAACATAGCAGAAAATCCCACAGATTCTCCCAGCGAACTAAACCTCCATGGCTAGGCCACAGGGATTTTCCAGCTAGCCATTTTTCATCACTGGGGGCTATACTACATCTTTATACAGCTTCTGCTCCGATCTTCCCATAGAATCCATAGCAGTTTCAAGGTGAATCCAACCCATTTTTTGGGATAAACCTCGGTGTTGTTAGTTCCATGAATCATCAAAAACGGACGCAAACAATGCTGAATAACCTACCAAAAAAAAGTTAGCCAGAACATCCAAATCCTTCAAAATCCATCAACCGTCAGAAACCAGAAACCGTCATATGATCAAATACGGTGGAAAAATTGGAAATAAACTTAAATAAACAAAACAAATCAATGATGTCAAGCGTTCCCTTCCAGCGCCAAGCTGCGCGTGTCCAACGCACTGAGCTGCGTTCGAAGTCCTGTGAGTTCTCGCTGCAAGATGCCTTCCTGTGACCTCGGCAGGCGAAGTCTCAGGATGGTAACCCTCTGGTAAACTAACAGTTTGTGGTGGAACATGGCCCATATGGATGATTTAACCTACCAAAAAAAGCTGGTGTTCCATGAATTTAAGAGTGCGAACTGGAAAGATCCACCAGTTTTAATTGGTAAATCATCCAACTAAATGGGTTAAACATGGCTTCCATAGCTAACTGATGCTAACCTTTTTCGTTTTCTCCAGGCTATCCAGTAGTAAATTTTCCGCAATTTCACAGGGGGATTTCTTTGGATTTCGCCAATGTGAAAATGTGGATTTCATCAGCAAAAATTGGGGGATTTACTCAGGGGGCAAGGGTTTTGTTGCCCCAGGGAACCGCCGAATCCGGCAAATCATCTTCCAGACCAGCATTTTTTGCGGGTTCCATGTGAAAAAAGGTAGACGGTTTGCCGAAGGACAGATCAGTAGAGTAACTAGGGTTTGATTTGGGGTGATATGAAAAAAATGAAGTGGGTGGAATGGATTAATGTGTCCAAAGAACCGCACGTCAGTGGGTAATGACGGTAATGATTCATATATAACTGGTGATGTTCCATATATATATACATATATACATAATTATACATATATATATATATATAATTATACATATAGTTATACATAAATATATATATAATTATATATATGTAGTTACATACATATATGTGTGCTATAATAGAGATTCCCTCTTACTAACTGGTATGCACCCCCCACACTTCGAATTTCCTTGGATTTCACCCGACGAAAAAAAGTCTGGCAGATTTCACCATGTTTCATGGGGATGACCGCAGCTCGGGAAGATCGCACCGGGATGTCTTAAACCATCCCCAAGTCAGCAGCATTTTGAGTTGGCGGATTTTTTTTGGGTATAAACCCAATCAAACCAGCATTTTTGTGGGTATAGACTGTATAGACCATCCCTAGTCATGTTGGCTTTATTCCCAACGTCCTCATGGCGTCCCAGAGGCCCTAGGAGGTCCCGGATGGCATGCAAAGCCTTGGCAAAGGTGAGGCGCAGCTATGTTTGTTGGTTTATAAGATTTTATAACATGTTATAACCCCCATGAACTATCTAGTTTTATATAGTTTTATGTAATTATACATGATATAATTCCCCTTAATCAACCCTAGTCAACCCAAGTTGTGTGCGACAGGTTAGTCACCATTTAGTATAGCGGTTGCCAATCTGCCACAGCTATGTTCACGACATTGGTGGTCTCGAACCGTCAAAAAATAAACAAATTACCTAATCAACTACGAGACATCATAATGTAATCTACCACTGTTTTGGCAGGATTTTACTGTTCTATCTTACTGGGGCGAAGTGGAAAGTGCAAAATGTCTGAAGTTCAAACTTCAAAAAAGGGTCTATCTCTTAAACCGGCCCAGCCTGGAAAACATTGTCGAAATACAATCCCTGGGGCGTCGCCACTTCTTGGAGTTGCTTCACGTTGCCCCAGAGATTACCCATTTCTGGTGGATTTTTCGATGATTTCTCCGTGAAAAGCAACAATCGAAGCCCCAAGAAACGTCCTCAGCCCACCCGTACTGCTGCTAGAAACCCCTGCGGCTGCGTTGTTATCACTGTCTGATAGGGTGCGGGACGCTGCGAGCAGTCCTTAGACTCACATCGTGAGCACCCTTCGAAGTGAAAAAATCATCGAGAATTGGAGGGTTCATAGGTTTCAATACTCCAAAATCTAATTTTGGAAGATTTTTGGTGGTACCCTTATTTTAGGAAACCCCCAAATGGGTATCAAACAAAAAATGTCCGTCGCAAACTTAGATAACAAGAGGGTATCTTTATCTCCACAGTGGCCGCGAATCTCCAAACGTGCATTTTCCAAACGTCAAGAGACGTTTGAAGACTCTTCAAGACTATACTTGGAGTCATCCCCCGAATCGTGTTTGTTGTGAATAGACCTAGTTATACATATGTGTATATATATATAAGGGTGTTGTCCCAGCTACAAATGGGTGAACTGCCCCCAGTTACTCACCAACCGGCTTAACCCACGAAACTCGGGAACCCTCTTGCAATCTTTGAGCTCGGTCCCCATGGGGCCTGCTTTGCAAAGCCAAGCATCTGTCACCTTTGCCTTTCCTTGGAATGGCGAATGGAGAAAGACTCTCGGTATTATATGTATGTACATATACATATAGATATATATATATAATTATATATATATATAATTATATATATATACACATATCTGTAATATACACGGGTTTGTCTTAAAGTAGGGTACCCGAAAATCCCCTAGATTATCATCGTGTTCCCAACCTTTTAGTAGCCATTTGGCTATTTATCGCCCCTGTTTTGTTTCGATGGCAACAACGTGGGCCCCGAATGTTTACCACTCTGAAAACTGGCTATACCCATCAGACTCCCGGAAGATTTTAGAATAGCCATACCCTTGGATACCCTTGGTAAGTTTAGGGCAACCAAACCACATATGGGCTCAACCAAACCAGGTGTGGGATTGTAGGGGAAACCAAGCCAGACATGGAATTGTACGGAAACCAAAGCAGATATGGTATTTTAGGGCAACCAAACCCGATATGGAATTTTAGGGAAACCAAACTAGACATGGAATTTGCTGGAAACCAAAGCAGATATTGTATTTTATGGCAACCAAAGCAGATATGGAAGCAAAACCAAACCAAACATGGGTTGTAGGGAAACCAAACTATCCCCCCCCGTATTGACACAGCCATGCAAAATGACCCATGACACTAGATGATTTGCCTTTTACATTTTACAGTCACATTGCCGTTTTCAGGCCTATGTGAAACTGCCAGAGGGTAGCTGTTTCAATTCTAGAGTATCTGTTCTTCGCCATTTACAACTGGGGGAAAATCCCCATTGGCATACATACTGTATACATACTGTACATACATATATTTCATATATGCATATATATATACAGATACCAGTATGTGAAAACAGGTGTTTTCGAAACGATGCCATAACTTTTTGCATCATTTTCCACATAACTGAGTCACTCCTGGGCCTTCTTCAGCATCAGCTTGGCTACATCATAGCCTCGGAACTCTCCCATGATTGAGCATCGCTGTTCCCCGGGAAATGGCGACAAAATGCTTGGAATATGGGAATATAGTAACCAATAAAGGATAGAAAATGCTTCAATTTGTCTTTCTTTTGGTAGGAGTTTACCAGTCTAGTTTTTTTCAGGTTGGCTACAATGATCTGGCTGAATTATGATAGTTCACCAACCTAAATTGGGAAATGAACTAACGATGATTTGTCTCAACCCACAAAATGGATAGAATTGGCAAAAAGCACTGATACAAATGGCTTGCAAGGTCTTTAAAAATCAAACTGTTGAAAAAAGATTGAAAAAGAGTATCTTCTTGGGACAAGAAAAAAACTATCTGCAAAAAGTCTAGGGGAACCCTTCCCAATATTAATGTAGGCAACCAACCGACCAAAAATGAAGGTATAATCAAGTATAACCAGCAATAATACGGATATGTGTGCACATATATATATATATATATGCAATTATGTTGGTGTCCCTGTTTGTTAGCTAAGTTGGCGTATAACATCTTATAACTATGTTAAGTGTTGGGTGGATGGTGATTGTCACTATAGTTAGATGGGTAATGAAGCAACTTATAACTCGGGGCTCCTTGCAAGCTCCTCACCCTGAAATTTACGGTCTTTTGGGGCTGATCAAGCTGATCGATTCATTTTAGGGGCTGGTGAATTATCAGAAGATCAGAATTATCTACTGAAATTAGTCTATCCTGATAATTCACCATTCTGAAAATAAGATTTGAAAATAAGAATTAAAAACACAGCTTCTAGCCCCAAATCCAGGGGGTTCCGGTGTAAATTTCCGAACGATCTTTTTGCACGGACAGGGTACCCCATGATACGTCTGGCTACTAACCCCCCCCATGGGAAAATAAAGGAGTGTAAAAAAAATGTGTGTATATGGATATGTTTGCGTATGTATATTATATATATACATATCAATTTCATATCATATAATATATATATACATATCATAACCAAACTGAATGGGGAACACAAGCTGTAAAAAAGGACACATCATCGAAAAGGGCTGTCCAAAGCAACATGATTCGACCAGGTCCCAGACCGCTGTCGCGGAAGTCTTGGAACTCGTCGACCCAATTGCGCCGGGCCTGGGCGAAGGTATGAGCCATGAATTGGTTCGTTCTGCTAGGACCATTGGATTGGTTTTTGCTAGGAAAATCTACAGGAAAGCCATGGTTTTTACCGTTTTTACCATTTACAGTAGATCATGGGGATTTCCTGTAAATCTTCCCGTAAACAAATCCAAATAATCCGGAATGGATTGGTTGTTGGCTGTATCATGGCTGTGGCATGCTGATGAGTTCTCATCCACTGATGTGCTGTTTGGTCGGCTGCATGAGGGAACTTGATGGAACCACCCAGTATGATCAAGGTTGAACTTGTTTTGTTTATACATATATATATATACAGAGGGTTCCATATTGTATTTTCCTCCATCAACATGTTTTTCTTGCTGGACTTTATCACAACGTACTCCCCATACCAGGGCTGGTGCAAAAAGTCAATCTCCGGTTGGCGAGTTCCGCTCCCAACCAACCTCGCCCCAGAGTCAAACAAATATGTTGGAGAAAACATGATAGAAAAGATAAACCCTCATTTCTGATAGCAACCCAAATTAAATGACGGTAAATGATATATAGACAGAATTCTATCTCTAAATATCCCTTTCTGAATTACCCATGTCCCCATTTTGGTTGCCAAAAATCCAGATGTTCAACGTGAAAATCCCATTTTTGTTCTTGGTGCCGTCGCGGCTATATTTCAGGGTTGGTCCAATCTCCTGCACCGTTGGTTTGTGAAAATCACCGCGAGTTCAAATGATAATCACACTGAAATCATTGACACTTCAAATCACCTGAAAGATGAAATCACATTCTGTTAAAATGTTAGATCCTCACAGTTGCCAATGTCAAAATCTCTCAGGCTCTGCTACTCCTGCAACTCATACACATCACCCTTCTGCGATCAAAGAAAAAAACACAAATCACCAAAAGAAAAATAAAAGATCCTCAAAGTTCCCCAAGTTTTACTCAATCAAAAACCATCAAAAACCATGAAAAATCCCCAACAAAAACCTCAAAAATCCCTGTGTTTACACCATCAAAATCCTCAACTGGGCGCCGCGCCGTTCGCGTCTCGCGGCGCTTCGCGCTTTGCGGCGCGACGCGTGAAGCGTTGGCGATCGCCCAGCCCAGGGGCGCCCAGCACAGCTGAAGGGCCAGAGCGAGGCCTCAGGAAATATATGGTTAGCGTATGGGTTATATACTATATGTATGCATGCATATATATATATATATGTATATATTATGTGTAGATAATTGTATATAATGTTATCTAATTATATGTAATGACTGTTCGCCTCCCGAAACAGCTGCCAGAAAAAAAACATCAACTGCATTCAAGACACATGCTGCAGGCAACGCCCAATGAAGACGGGCTCGGCCTGGAGCAGATTCATGGCAGCTCCAGTTGCTTGGTGCCACGGTGGTGCCCCAGTTCGCTAAGTTGCCAAGCATAAGAAGATGACCTAGGATTTATAGTAGATTCAGTAGATATACCATCTGAATATATAGATGACCTAGGATTCAAACAACGTTAAACACTTCATGGGATATTAAACCAACAACGCTCGGTTTAAAGGTCGTAAACGCGCGGCTTTTGAACGTCTGGGGTACCATGTGTTGTTCTTTGGAAGTTCTACATCATAAGATCACATCATCTTAGTTTCCAAACACACATGGCCAACGATTCCCAAATAGAAGTAAGATGAAGTAAGTAATCAAACTGTTATATCAAAACAGCTTCATCTTGTTCTAAAACCTACTTCTCCATCCATCTCCATCCAAGATACAAGTCAACATGAAACGGACTACCCCAAACCCTATGACGCAACATAGAACATCTCTAGCAAAACACATCGGTGACTTCAGACCCCGTGTACAGGTTAACATGAGACTTACTAACGCAAACCCCATGACGTAACGTAAAACATCTCTAGAAAGACACATTGGCGACGTAAGACCTATGCTACAAGTTGACATGAGAGGTAGCATCACGTGAGTGCAAGTGCCAAAGGACGTTATTGCTCCACCCGACCTCCCCCAACCCCAAGAATGGCGGAAGGAAAAGCCAAGAGCGTCGTGTCAAGAACGTAGAGTGATGAACGTTACTGTTCCACCCCACCCCACCCCGACACGTGACATACGTGCAGAAAAATGCACCAAAAAAAACGCAGTTCCCCCCTGATTTCAGTCAAAAGAAATGCGCGCGCCCAGCCCGAGCCACCAACAAACATCAGGTTTGGGATGGTTTGGGGGGCACCAAATGAATGAAACCTCCCCCAAACCTCCGGTCGTTCAGAAACCGGCGCCTTTGCATCTGCGAGCCATGCTCTTTGCCATGGCAGATGCTGGCGGAAAAACGAACGAACCGTGGGAATTGTGGTGAAGCGGTGGCTGCGGCCTGTGAAGGTTTCGATTTTTCGATACAATCAGCGAACTTTGGAAGTTGAGATGGTCAGTTGTGAGTTGAGTCTTGGATTTTTTTTTCAGTGAAAAGATGTGAGTTCAGTGTTGAGAGAATTGGTAGCAAAAGTTCTGAAGGCCACAAGGATCACTTGTGCTTCTGGCCAAACGGAGCGGCGGAGCGGATCAAAACCCGGTCGGTGCCACGGTGCCGATTATCATTTGGGGCGTCCATAATTTTTATATAGCAACAACAGAAAGATAGAGAAGTGAAATCCTACTAAAATAGTGATGCTTTACTTGTTTACTATCTCATTTTTTGGGGTGGGGGATTACTATAATCAGTCATCCGTATTTCAAGGCTATGGCGAATCTGCATGATTGTATCTGAATCGATACTGCTGAGGGGCCCTTATTCGAGAGATCATTTCATTCACAAACTCTCAGTGTGAGTCAAAACCCGCAAAGCCCCAATGAACATCAAAAAGTAAGAATTACAAGTTTTGTTGTGATCTTTATCCACGGGTGGAGTGTTCGCAAGATTGTCTTACTATTTTCTTTCAGATGTACAGCAAAACACACACACACAGGTATCAAGGATTATCAAGGTATCACTATGTGGGTGTCTCTCAAAAATTAACCCTGAAGTAAAAAAAAAAAACAAGGGATCCTTGCTGAAATCACCACATCATTCATGGTAAGCGCCCTCCGGTTTTCCACTGTAAAGTCGAATCATTGTGGTGATGATTCGCCACAATTTAGCTGGAAGAAGCCTAGGAATTTGCTGCGAAATTTGACCATAAAATTGTGCGTTCCCATCCTGTCAGTGGAATTCAAAACATTCCATCATGAAAATTGCTGGGATATCCAGTCCGAGTTTCAAAATTTGATCTCTCATCTTATTGGCCATCTTGGATACCCATGCAAGAAGCTGTTGTTTTCTAGCTGGTTAGTATGTATCTCCCATCAAAAATGCAAAAGATTTGTCAGTATTCCACTACCCTTCACCGGCTGCAATATCACGCCCAGGCCGGAAAATCCCGCACTTAGTTCGATGATGTTCGATGATTTTCCCTTCGCCAGAGGCGGAACCCAGTTGGTATCCCCTGATTCCCTGAGCAACCCCCACGGTTCGGCCGCCAGCTGTGCGGCAGCCAGTGCAGCTGCAAACTGGCGATTTTTTTTCACCCAAAGTTGCGGAGCTTTGCAGGATTTAACCAAGGAGAATCCGGATTTCTATTTATGTATGTATGTATGTATATATCTGGGTAAATTATAATATTTCACTAAGCTGAATTAATGCCATTTGGGGATGATTCCCCTTATTAACCATGATTCCCAGTGAGGTCGCAGTGAGGTCGTTATAATTTGCCCAGATGTATGTATGTATGTATGTAATGTAACGAAATGTAATGTTATGTTATGTTATGTATGTATGTATATATTTTTTTGTATATATATATATATATAATTAGTTGATGGATGGAATCGCTTGGTCTACAGGTGCCAAGCTTAACTAATGGGTCTATGGTGATTTACGGTGAAATGACTAACGTCAATGGATTGAACATCAACCAACATCTCCTGAAACACACTTCCGAAGAAGAAAAACAAACTACCAGTACCGGTATAAGTTAGTTCATAAAATCACGGAAACCATCCAAGTTATATGGCTCAAGAATATGATGTCATCCAGTGTTTTTGAAGGCTAGTAAAACCGACCCCTAGAACAAAAAAAAAAAGTTTTTTACCACTAGCTAATCCCTTCCCCCGTTCATAGAACAAACACAGCCAACCAAAACCATCGAGCACGATGGTGAATGTAGGGGATTTGCATCATTTGGGGACGGGATTCATATAGTTGCCCATTCAAAATCATACTAATCAGAATATAATGACCATCAATAGTTTCTAATAATGAAGAATCATCAATCATCTTTTATAGATGATTTATAGATGAATAGTCTAACCTTTCCCTCTGCTCCGTGCTGAACGTCTCATCCAAAAAAGACCGTGCGTCCAAGGCGTACCTTCCGTGGGGAATTGCTCTGGGCCGCAGCTTGCGCTAGAAGCTCCGCCGCCGCCTGCCCGGGCAGGGAAGAATCTGCCCAGATGGTTGATGAATATGATGGGATGTCATGGGATACTCTCTGGTAATTTGTTGCATTGCTATTGAAAGATCCACCCATTTTTAATGGGAAAACTCACTATTTCGACTGGGCCATTTTCAATAGCTATGTAACAAATTACCAGAGGGTATTTCATATAGGGTGAGGTTTCCCCACACCCAGCATTCATCTAAAATTTGGGTGTTTCCCTGGGGGTTACAGCTGTTGTTGGGCAAGATCCAACGTATCTTTGCTGGGAATGTGAAAAAAACACGTTGTTGAAACTCTCAGTTTTTGGATAAAAACATCATCCAGGTTCATCATCATTGTCCCTATAAAATCACCCGTCAAACAAAGGTTGATATCCCTGATCCCCAGGATTACTGGTGAATACCCAACTTGGAACTGGTGATGTTCCCGTTGAACTGTTTATCCTCAAGTGAATCCCTCATTTTTTATATCTACGCTAATTGTATATCCTTATTCTATCCACTTATATATATTTTTCATGGTTTCATGTCTCATTTTGGTGCAATTCCAGTTCGTTTTGTAATTATGTTCCCCTTTTTGGTGATGTTGCTTACACCAGTACTAGCATGATGCTTGTAACCCCTATCGCGTTATTTCCCATGTTTGGTTTAATCCGAATAAATGTACCCAGTTATATCATATGATATCAAACCTAAACTGGATCTATATATATATAATCATCCCGAAGTAGATAGAATATGGTATGTTCAAGAATATTGCAGTTTCAGTCAAGATGTTGTTTGAAAATTCTATATTACCTTCAGGATGACTCTATGTATATATATATGTATGCGCACAGAAGGGGACACCCTGGGAGTGCGGTTTTTCACTGCATTCTGCAACCACTGACACTGCACATGTGCCATGGTTCTTTCACTGCTTTGCAACCATTGACAATTTCTGCGTGGGTTTTCTGCAATGGCTAAACAAAACCAAAATCAAAAAAAACAAAAAAACAAGAAACCAAAGAAACAAAAAAAAAAACAAAATGACAAGACCCAACTCTCTGCCATTACTCCCCCCCTTGGGGTGTGCAATCTTGTTTTTTTTGTTTTTTTTGTTTTTTGTTTTTTTGGTTTCTTCGTTTTTTGGTTTCTTGTTTTCTGGTTCGTTGTTGGTTTTTCTGCAATGGCTAAACAAAACCAGAATCAAAAACAAACAAAAAAAACAAGAAACCAAAAAAACAAAAAAATGACAAGACCCAACTCTCTGCCATTACTCCCCCCTTGGGGTGTGCAATCTTGTTTTGTTTTTTTTGTTTTTTTGGTTTTTTGTGTTTTTGGTTTCTTGGTTTTTTGGTTTCTTGTTTTCTGGTTCGTTGTTGGTTTTTTGAAGGGCTAAGGACCTAGACCTAACTCTTTGCCTGTTCTCCCACTGTAGGGGTTGCAAACTTGCTTTTGGTTGATTTTATTATTTGCTTTGGGCCTTTGGGGGGCTTGGGACACAAATTAGGCAATTTTGTCTGTTTATGTAATATTTCAAAAACGGTGCTGAACAAATGCAAAAGCATAGGCAGCCAATGAATGTGTAGAACTGATTTTGATATTGGCATTCTTGGCTCAACCCTTGGGTTAGCACATGTTCAAACACTTGGAAAGATTCCCTTGAAAAGGAGTGATGCACCTCTTTGAAGTGAGTGCTTCCTTCAACAAGTGCATTTCTTTTATAAACTGGTAGAGCCCGGTAGAGCATCCCATTGAAGTAGGTCATGTCTCAGTCTACTTCTATGTCAAAAATGAACCCTATTGCACATGCAATGCCCTTTTCACAATATATTTTCTTAAATGAAGAACACATGGTACATGTAAGCACGTAAGATATGTCTTTCACAATTGCACATAATTTTTCTGAATGCATAATGTGATATTCTTCCAAGACAACGAACCACATTTTGGGAATAACACCCTTAGGTTTAGGCAGCTCCCCTCTTGAAAAATTTTGTAATTTGAAGAATGTCCATCTTTAAACCTTAAGACAATCAAACATTGTTTGAACATATGGTAGTGCTCACAGTTTCAAACATATTGCACTTTTGAAAGGAATGCCCTATGTCAATAATACTGCATATATCATGCAGAAGTATTGACTTTTCTAAAAGGGGTACTGCTCCTTTGAAAGGACGGTTAGACATCTGGAAATGCACACTGCACTCCTTCAAAGGGCATGGTGCAACTTTTCAAGGAATACTTCATATTTTGTTTGGATATTGTCCCTGCAAAAACACACTGCATTGCCCCAAAGGAAGATTACTCTTATTCAGAAGGATATGTTTGTTTTGAATACTGCATTTGTTGGCAGGTATGGGGATGTTGTAATTATGTTGAAGTCATCTAGCATATTCTGCAGAAATTGTGTTTTGTTGAAGTGACAATGTAGTAGCATTTATCTAAGGTAGAGTGAACACCTGGACACTTCTTCAAGCAATACATGCTCTCTGGTGGACATGAACACAGCTTCATCTGTAGTTTAAGCTTTAATGTGATTACAGTTTCTGAAAAAACAATAAAAAAAAGTGCACTCCCACAGCATCCTGCTCTCTCTCTCTATATATATATATATATGTGTGTGTGTAGAGAAGTACATGCACCCCAAGTTTGTCCCAAAGATGCCATATCACCCCATGGATGCCCCAAGAAACTTGGTAAATCAGTAGCCGACAATGCCTTTGTTCGTTAAAATTATGGGAACATCACACCATGCACCTTAAAAGATATCATATGTCATATCATAGATCATAGCGTATCATTTCATATCATATCGTATTTTTTAATATATCGCACAAATCTTCTGGCTGACTCCCTGATGTTTGCTTGGTAAAACAGATCATACATCATATCATATAGATATAGATATATGAACTCACTGGACATAGTTCAAAAAAAGTGTGGTATATATCTACTGCCATTTGCTTGGTAACTCAATGACTTGATATATGTCTGTCCAATGTTGAGTAGGTATATCATTTTTTGGTAGACCCAAATTTATCATTGGGTCATTTGAACACTTTCATCTATATATATATATATATGTATGCATATGTAGATGAAATCTTTGTTGATTCACTATCAAACTGCTCTATAGATAGCTTCCCCCTAAAAAATGCGCATTTCCCGAGCAAAAAAACAGTCATCTTCGGCAAACCCATCTTCTGAATGGGTTTCTCTTGTTGTAAACGTTTACCCTAGGGTAACATTTCACTAGATGGTAAGTAAACATGCATTGATGGTTAAATTATCATCTCTTGATTCACGTTTGATGGTTCCTCACTGCGAGAAAATGATGATGAACAAAATCATTCTAGTAAATCCCTCCTTAAAACTACATATTAAGCCACATTAAACCATAGTTAACCATACTTAAGCATAGTTAATCAGACTTAACTTAACCATAGTTAAGCATAGTTCAACACCATGTTTAATGTTCCTCCAATATGAGTTCATTTCCATGTAGTTTTAGATTCACCCATTAATAGCCATTATCATTAACCCATAAACTCCACATCTCTATTTAGTTTAACACCATAGGTTAGTAAAATTCCCCTCCATTCCTTGCCCCAAGGGTAATTGTTGGTTATCATTGGTTTGCTAAGTTTCATTCAAATCCATGATTAGACAGAATTGAAACCCAAGGCAACTTGCGATACTCCCATGTTAGGAAAGCTCCATGTGGAGCTTTCCAATCCATGGGGCTACCTCCATTTATCATCCATTTATAGATGGGAATTTCCATCACCATTTTAAGGGGTCTCCCCATTTATGGAAACCTCCAAACTCCATTCCAGACTTCAAGCAAAACCATAGTCAAACCATCTTCCCATCCCTCCCGTCCATAGCCAATTCTATATAATCCCATTGTCATTTGTAGCCGTTCCCCAGTAACACACGGCATCTTTAATAGCTAAATCAACGAAATAGCTTATGTTGGTTTACACTTGGTTAAATATGAGTAGTCATTCCTCAGTAACACACCATTGGTTAACAGTTGATTTAACCCACCATTCCTTAACCAATGGATAAATCCACCATGGTAAACACAATTTAACTACCATTGGTCAACAGTTGATTTACCATTCTCATAAGGGACTAAAACCATAATCGTTGTTCTAATAAATCCCAATAGTTACTGGTTGGTGGTTTCAATCCCTCTGAAAAATATGACTTCGTCAGTTGGGATGATGAAATTCCCAATATGGTGGAAGTCAAAATCCATTCATGTTCCAGTCACCACCAGCCATTTTGATATTCCCATATAATCCCATATACATATATTATCATAATATATCACATTAATTATATTTAATTATTAGTTATATATTAACATATTATCATGATATACCATATTCCCATATATTATATAATCCCATATTAATTATACCATCATAGTGTTAGTAAAGCAATGTTTTTAACCACTTCCGTCACCGTGCCGTGCCCCACCTTGACCTGCGCCACCGGATCCCCCGAGGCCGCGGCTGCGGCCGCCGCGACGGAGGCCGCCGCGGCCTTCTCCAAGCTGGGCGCGCTCGGCGCGGGGGCGGCGGGCACCGGCTCCTGGGAAACCATAGGGACACCATACAGAAACCATGGGAAACCATGGGGAAAATTGTGATTTATACCGATTTAAGAGAAAAACATGGATTTCAGCTGCAAAAATAGAGATTGAAGCAAGAAAGTGATAATTTCACCAAAAATTGTGATGTTTAGAGGATCTATAGCTGTTTTATGATAGCTAAGTTTACACACATTTGCCTTGGTTAACGTTTAGGGTTATGGGTGATATAGCGAAGCAGTTAATCGGGAGGCCTCACCCTTTAGGGGATCGTAAGCCATAGATCCAGCTCCATGGAATCCAGAAAATACAAAAAAAAATGGCTTTAATTACAAGCCATAAGTATGGAAGTATTTTGTTCATCTTTTTGATTCTGGATCTTTACATGAATCTCTTCTAAATATAGGCTTACATTATAACAAAAAATATTACAATGGGTTGCAAAATTGAGTTTGAAATCAAAAGATGGAGTTTAATGAACCATAGACATGGGTTTATATATATATGTGTGTGTGGGTCCTTGTGAAAGATTTAGTTCCTATTACCTATTGATTTAAAGTATTCCCCACAGATATCTCAAATATTCCCAGCTCCATAGGTTCATAAAATGATGCTAAATCGGGTTTATAATCTGCAAACTGGATTTAATTTTGCTCTTTAGCTCCTCGAATATCTATGCCTAGATGTAGCTGGAAAAAATGGATAATTAATATATATATGTATACATACTATACATATATATATATATATACATATACTTGTTGGAAAAATGATGAAAAATGATGGTAAACCAATGGGATCTAAGTGATTAAAGTGAACAGGATATCAACACATTGAATTAATTTCAGCAATTTTCAGCATCAAAATGTGGGGAGTTGTTAATTTCGCATGGGAATTGACAGGCTAGCATTTCAATCACCACTTTTTTGGACTTAAATTTCATTTGACTGAAGGGCAATACATCCAAACACTATAGCAACAGTGCTCATACTTATACATATATATAGTTCCCCATGTTTCCCCATATTTTTTGGAAAAAAAAACTGAAAAAAAACATGTGTGACCCAACCCGTAACCCGTTGACCATCGTTTCTAGCCAGGTGTTTCTCCTCCAGCGGCGTCTGGCCCAGGTTGCTCATGAGATCAAAGAGGGCCGCCTGTCGATGGTGGAGTTTCTAGCCAACCACGGCTACACCGCATAAGGAAATATACTATAACTGGTTGGTGGTATACCTACCCCTCTGAAAAATATGAAAGTCAGTTAGGATGATGACATTCCCAATATATGGAAAAATAATCCAAATGTTCCAAACCACCAACCAGATAATATCTATTATATACTGACAAATCTCCATAAGGAATATATCTCCATATTTTCATTCTATTGATATTTTTTGAATCTAACCAGCTGTCCAAAAATCTCACAGGCTTCTGGGGAAAAGGAGATTTGACCTGATGATTTTCCACGGTGAACCACCTGATTTTACACATGGGGAATTAGACCTAAGAGATCCGGGAGCGAATGGGCTTATGGAAAAAAAAATGCCATTTCAGGGGAATAGACCAACTTAACCAGTTCAAACTTGGTTTTTCTCGTCCAAGATCGACCATGGTAATTTTCTGAACCAACAACACTTGGGAAGGAACAAAAGTTGGGACTTCACTGACTTCACAAACAGTTTTCACCGATACAAATCGGGTGTTCAGATTTTAATGGGCAAAATTGGAATATGGAAAAGTTCCACTCAAATCAACCCAAAAGTTCAAAGGCTCATGAATTTTCCAGCAAAATCATGAGGTGAAACCAATAATACACCATCCCCACTGCCAAGAACATTCATGGAATTGGCTATACCTTGTTCCGTCCGGGATGATCGTAGCCGCAGTCATGATTGGTTGCTGGAAAAACATAGAGGATTTACCACAGATGGTCCGGTTGGTTATTCATTCATTATTCCTTCACTATACTATAGATTTTTTGGCGCCCATATTGATGAAATCCATGTGCAATAAATGATCTAGTGGCTTTGTCTATATTTACATGATAGGGTTTGAATATGTTTTCCCAAACGTATATATATATGACTATATGATTATATATATATGATCATACATATATATATATATATATATATATATGATTATGTGACTGCATATATATATATATGTGATCATACATACATATATATATATATGAATGATCATACATACATACACAAATATATATATATGATCATTCATACATACATACACATCCATCGCATGCATGCATGCATGCATACATGCATGCATACATGCATACATGCATACATGCATACACGCATACACGCATACACGCATACACGCATACACGCATACACGCATACACGCATACACGCATACACGCATACACGCATACACGCATACACGCATACATGCATACATGCATACATGCATACATGCATACATGCATACATGCATACATGCATACATGCATACATGCATACATCCATACATACATACATACATTACATACATTACATACATTACATACATTACATACATTACATACATTACATACATTACATACATTACATACATTCATACATTACATACATTACATACATTACATACATTACATACATTACATACATTACATACATTACATACATTACATACATTACCTACATTACATACATTACATACATTACATACATTACATACATTACATACATTACATACATTACATACATTACATACATTACATACATTACATTCATTACATACATTACATACATTACATACATTACATACATTACATACATTACATACATTACATACATTACATACATTACATACATTACATACATTACATACATTACATACATTACATACATTACATAACATAACATTACATAACATAACATAACATTACATTACATTACATACATTACATACATTACATACATTACATACATTACATACATTACATACATTACATACATTACATACATTACATACATTACATACATTACATACATTACATACATTACATACATTACATACATTACATACATTACTTACATTACATACATTACATACATTACTTACATTACTTACATTACATACATTACATACATTACATACATTACATACATTACATACATTACATACATTACATACATTACATACATTACATACATTACATACATTACATACATTACATACATTACATACATTACATACATTACATACATTACATACATTAATACATTACATACATTAATACATTACATACATACATACATACATACATACATACATACATACATACATACATACATTACATACATTACATACATTACATACATTACATACAATACATACATTACATACATTACATACATTACATACATTCCATACATTCCATACATTACATACATTACATACATTACATACATTACATACATTACATACATTACATACATTACATACATTACACACATTACATACATTACATACATTACATACATTACATACATTACATACATTACATACATTACATACATTACATACATTACATACATTACATACATTTCATACATTACATACATTACATACATTACATACATTACATACATTACATACATTACATACCTTACATACATTACATACATTACATACATTACATACATTACATACATTACATACATTACATACATTACATACATTACATACATTACATACATTACATACATACATACATACATACATTACATGCATTAATACATTACATACATTACATACATTACATACATTACATACATACATACATACATAGATACATACATACATACATACATACATACATTACATACATACATACATACATACCATTACATAGATACATACATACATACATACATACATAACTTTAGATACTTACATTACATAACATTACATCACATCACATCAAATCACATACATACATACATACATTACATTACATTACATTACATTACACTACACTACATTACATACATACATACATACATATATATATATATCTATATATATGATTTTATGATTATATGATTATATATATATATATATTTGATCATACGTATATATATATGGTCATATGATTGTATATATATATATGGTTATATGATTATATGCATATATATATATATGATTATATGATTATATATACATATATGTATATATGAATATATATATTTACATATATATATATGATTATATGATTATATACATATATATTTATGATGATGATATGTTTATATACATACATGTATATATATATATGTGATTATATGATCATAGATACATATATATATATATATTTATATGATTTTATGATTATATATACATATATATATGTACATATGATTATATGATTTGATTATATGATTGTATATACATATATATGTATATGATTATGTGATTATATACATATATATATATATGGTTATATGATGATATACATATATGTATCTGATTATATGATTCTATTTACATATATATATATATATGACTATATTATTATATATACATATATATATATATGATTATATGATCATATACATATATATATATGATTATATGATTATATATGTATACATATATAGATGATTATATCATTAGATACATATAATTATATATATATATATGATCATCTATCTATATATATATGTGTGTGTGTGTGTTTGTTTATCTGTTTGTTTCTTTTTGAATTTACATCTATTTTCCAGGCTCCCGGTACGGCCTGGACACCTTCCGCATCCAGTGGGATTGGCTCCTGGCAGCGGAAGAAAAAACCGAGATGTGGTAATTGTTGGTTATCATTGGTTTGCTAAGTTTCATTCAAATCCATGATTAGACAGAATTGAAACCCAAGGCAACTTGCGATATTCCCATGTTAGGAAAGCTCCATGTGGAGCTTTCCAATCCATGGGGCTACCTCCATTTATCATCCATTTATAGATGGGAATTTCCATCACCATTTTAAGGGGTCTCCCCATTTATGGAAACCTCCAAACTCCACTCCAGACTTCAAGCAAAACCATAGTCAAACCATCTTCCCATCCCTCCCGTCCATAGCCAATTCTATATAATCCCATTGTCATTTGTAGTCGTTCCCCAGTAACACACGGCATCTTTAGTAGCTAAATCAACGAAATAGCTCATGTTTGTTTACAATTGGTTAAATATGAGTAGTCATTCCTCAGTAACACACCATTGGTTAACAGTTGATTTAACCCACCATGCCTTAACCAATGGATAAATCCACCATGGTAAACACAATTTAACTACCATTGGTTAACAGCTGATTTACCATTTTGAGGGACTAAAACCATAATCATTGTTTAAAGATAGTCTAGCCAATGGCTGGTGTTTAGTAGCGAATGGATGGGTTGTTGGGGGTTGGGATGAGCTGCTTGATAGTTCGCCAGTGGATCATTCCCGAAAATTTTCCTACGTTTAGCACCAGGAAAATATCAGGTAAAATAAATTTGGAGGTCCCAGAGATTCTACAAATCAGATTTATTAACAAGAAAAAAATACAGAACAAATTTAGGGTAAAGACAAAAACCATGAAGTGCGTGCATAATATAATATATTATCTATAATAGAGTTTTACATATTTTTACTTAGCGGGGATGACTGGATGGATTGGCTGAAAATCACTTTATGTAGTCAAGTATCAAATATGTTCATATTGCGAACTGCTGGGGATACCATGCCCAAATTAAAGCCACCCCCTATCGGCCCTGATCCCACAAATGTAAGAAGGAAAAAGTGAGATTTGTCGGTTGGCACACATAACTCCAAATTCACTGGGGTTGAGGGTAGGTACATTCAGCTAGTTGAATGTAGTTGATGGATTGCTGGGGGTTATAAACCAACAAACATAATTGGGGGCACCACCTTGTAAGCAATTATCATCCACAAACCTCCCAAAAAATTGTAAAACCTGGTAAAACATGATAAAACCAACCAAGCGGAAACCGCGACCCCCCAACCCCTGACCCACCAACCTTTTCTCTCTTCTTCCTGGTCTTTTTGGAACCAACTTCTTCCTGTGGAAAGGAGCCCTGCAGATGCCCAAATCGGTTAATTGGTTCAAAGCACCAAACAGATAAACAATTTCTTACTTCAAAGATTTTTTTTGCTGGAAACCCGTGAGTTTTGATCCAGATTTATGAGTTGCAATGGCCAAGATTCGGTGGCAAATCATGAAACAAATGTCCACTGTTGATCCTCGCAACCATCTAATTGTGCATCAAAAATTCAAACTCTACTGGCCTCTTTCTCCAAATATCTTTGCTGCAGCTGTCAAACCACTATGTTTTTTTGCAATCCACCCTAGATCCCATGTGTTGTTTGTTTCAAAGCTAGCACAATTTTAGTTTCCACTGGACGGATTTAACGTGAAAAACACTGGATCTAACCATCAAACAGATTTAACAATTGAATAGTGCATGTGGTTGCTGGACATGATAGTACTGTCCCCTCAAATGGCCATGTGTTTAAGAAAATGATCAGTGGATGGAATGTTTTTTCTATGATTTTCAGACATGTTTTTCCCAAATTCGACCTTTTTCAGTGTTTTTCTGAACGGTCCCAACCTTCAATTCCCTCAAGGCATCATCTGCTTTGCCATCGATGAAATCCAGCAAATCTTCGATGCTGCGCGTTTCCGCGCTCTGCGCGCAGGGAGCAGAGGAAAAAATGCGGATTATCTTCCAAACTAACATAGTTATGGAAACCATTGCCATAGAAATAGATGATTAACCTATTAAAAATGGTGATGTTCTATATATAGCTATATCAAATTCTAGAGAGTAAATTCTAGAGAGTAACCAACAAAAATAAATGCTTAATAGGGTATATCCTATGGGATATGTAAAGAAGGGGATATTCTATGGGACATACAATCAACAACCATGATTTCTGGGTATACAACCAACCCTTTGCTCATGGTTGCCATATTAGGGATTTAACCAACAAAATTAGGAGTATGAAATCAAAAGGAATGGGGATAGAATGGGAGAAGGTGAGGCCCCCAATAGCTAAGTTGACTTGTCATTTGATTAAGGGTCGGGTATATAACATGATATAACGAACTATTGAATAGGTTTTGGAAAACCACAAACATGGGGGAACCGCAGCCTCACTTGTGTAGGATGGCGTTTAAGCGATTTACAGATCTTTGGGACCATACAATGGGGTGTTTAACACTAGAGCCATGGGGTTAATCACGGCACGTATGCATAATCCCATCGAAGGAAGTTTAGAAGTCAAACTTCCGACAATATGGACAGATGGAAAAGCAAAGGTGGGAAGAGGCAGGGAAGAGAAAGGAAGAAGAAAGAAGATCAGAAGAGAAAGAATCAGAAGAAAGAAGATGCAGGCGCGAAAAGGTAGAAAAGTCGAGAAACACTGTGTTTTTGTTCCAATATTTTGGGGCTCCGGAGCGTCGAAAAGTAGGTTCGCTAAAGCGGCGGGTGCGGAGCCATCTGGCGGGATGAGAAATGAAAAATTGCACGCCGTTCTGTCGCGAAGCACATTTTAAAGTGAACATGCTAAAAACACCTCAGTCTCGATGCACTTTTGGAAGTTAAGATGTTCAAAAACTGCACGCCATTGTGGCGCGGAACACGTTTCCAAACGAAAATGCTAAAAACACCTGTGTGATGGAGCGCTTTTGGAAGTTAAGATGTTCAAAGAAAAGTGCGCGCTGTTGTGGCGCGCGTTTCGAAGTCAAATTGTACAAAACACCTCAGCTGAGCATTTTGGGGAAGTTGAGATGTTGAAAAATGCATGGAGCTGTGGCGTGAAGCACGTTTGGAAGTCAAAATGTTAAAAACGCCTCAGCCCGGAGCACTTTTGGAAGTTAAGATGTTCAAAAAGTGCACTCCATTCTGGCGCGAAGCACATTTCGAAGTCAAAATGTGCAAAACACACCACGGTCGGACCACTTTTGCAAGTTCAAGCGTCGTTTTGTGTGGCAGGCGCTATGGATTCTGCACGTTGTCAAAAGTGACTCAAACGTGGGTTTTGCAGCAGTTGCAAAAACGATGCCGGGCGTGGAACGTTTGAAGCTCTGCAAAGGTGCATTTCGCGTGGCAGGCGCAGTACAAGTGACATCTTTATCAGAGATGTTGGGAGGTTCCTGAGAGGGGTTGCATCCTGGAGCATCAGATCTTCAGGTTTGCCAAGTAATTTAGCTTGACAGGTGCAGCACTTCGTATGACCTGGCCTCACTTTTTCGTGGCCGGGGCAATACTTTAGAGAGATGGGGTGGAAAAAAATCGCAAAATGCATGTCGACAAGGCCGTCAGCTCTGCACTCATCTTTGCATTTTTGAAGGAAGTCTCACAGAATTGCTTCTTTATTGATGTTGTCAACTTCGAAACTTGAGGAAGCCTCGCAGGAATTCGTCGTTTTGGAGCTGTGACCTTCCATTTGTCCAGGGGGTGTCACAGAATTGCTTCAGTTTGGAGCTGTGCGCATCCATTTTTTGAGTAAGTCTCGCAGAATTGGTTAGAAGATAGATGGATCAATAGATAGATAGACGGACGGACAGATAGATAGATATATAGGTAGGTAGATTGATTGATGGATAGATTGATTAATAGACAGAGAGGTAGACAGACAGACAGACAGACAGATAGATAGATAGATAGATAGGTAGACAGATAGACAGATAGGCAGATAGAGAGAAAGACAGATAGACAGGTAGACAGGTAGACAGGTAGCCAGATATATCGTAAGATAGATAGATAGGTAGACAGATAGACAGATAGGCAGATAGAGAGAAAGACAGATAGACAGGTAGACAGGTAGACAGGTAGACAGGTAGCCAGATATATCGTAAGATAGACAGATAGATAGGCAGATAGACAGAAAAATAGATAGGCCCGCACTCCAACCACCTTTCGATCCAGCAGTGGATTCGCTCTGCCATCCATGCATCGCAACAACTCCCCTCTCCTATAGTGTCCTATCTTTGAAACTTCCGCCACCGCCTTGTGCGGTACTACTGGTAATCATAGATGGGTTTTATGCCACTGTGTTTTGTGGGGATGATTATAAACTATTCGGGGAACCCCGATAAAACCAGCCACTTCAAAATGGGGTTCTACCAACAAAAGGCATTGCCCCTATGTGTTCTTCAAAATGTGGTTTTATAGCCATCTGCATCTGAATGGGAAGAATGATGCTAGACCACAAAGTTTGGGGTATCTATTCAAACAGGAACATGCAACAACGAAGATATTGACAACCCAAATTGGACTGTTACCAACAAAAATGGACATGCTGGTGAATGTTATTTGCAAACAACTAAGGCCTCAGACGTACGGCACAAGACATGCATTCAAGTTCCAATTGGGTGTCCTTGTCTTGATGCGCAGTCATTGAACCCCATGTAATCATGAATTGTTCATCCCCGCGACGCTGTGCCTCTTTCACTTTCGCATTCATGGGCCCAGCTAGCAGATTCTTTGCTGCCCTCTCGATTGTCTCGTCCGGAAGGGGACACGGAATTGTCGAGGCTGGTTTGGTGGCTGTCGAGGCTGGTTTGGTGGCTGAAGGCACAGGTTTGGCAGCCCCCACGGCCACAACCGCTTTGGCAGCCGCGGGGGCGGGCACCACAGAAGGGCCTGGAGCTGCTCAAATGGTGGGAAAATCCGGGAGATGGTGGGATATACCTTCCGGCAGATGTTTTATGTTTTTTTGCCTCCTACTATCATGGCAAGGTCCATAGCTGCAGCTGTTGGGAAATCTAGGAGAATAGCTTCCCATCTGCGCAAATGACACCTTGGGGATGATTCGCCACTATGACAATTTTGGGAGGTTCCAACGGAAAAGGGGAGATAAACTGCACCATCTTGCAACGAAAATGTAGGACCAGCATTTAACTGAAACATACTGAAACAATAACACGACACGAAAATACCAGGATTTCACAAGCTTCTTTGATCTCCATCCCCAGTTTCCTGGGATGTTGCCTGACAGCCAACTAATCCCGAAACTTCTGAACTTGATCTGGTGATCTTGCAACGCTTGCGAAACGTTCAAGCCAGGCATCGGCCCCAAGCCCCAACATCCCCAACCCCAAATGGTTTATCATCATCTTCCCCGTGAAAATCTTCAGTTTTGGATCATTTTGGCGCAGCAGTTTCGGACCTGGGTAGCTCTTGCGGCTGTTTCGGAAAGCCCAATTGGACTCCTTGCGCTGACAGTCCAAGGAGAAGCCGATATCCCATTCTTGGGATAGTTACCGAATTCTAGTGTCGAATCCTAAGTCCTGGCCAACAAAGTAAGAACTCTCATCTCCGACTCTTCTTTTGTTGCGGCTTCACAAAATATGGCTGATATATATATATAATTATATATATATGGTTATATATATAATTGTATAAATATATATATATATAACACTATATTAATATATATATATGTAATCATATATATACACACATATGAGCTCCCGTCAAAATCCTCTACATCTCAGTAGTTGCCATTATCGGCTATCCCTTTTTGGGGGGCCATATCGTTTTCCAGTGTTTTGTGCCACTATCGCTTTTAGGGGGCCTATCCCTTTGCACATCTCTGACAAAAGTGCTTCTGCAATACTACAGTGATCTTCAACAATTTTGACTGCAACATACATACATACATACATACATTACATTACATTACATTCCATTCCATTCCATTCCATTCCATACCATACCATACCATACCATACATATATATATATATCAGCCAGATCTGTGATCAGCCGCAACGTTTTTTTCCTATACATATCTATGTGTTAACCAAAAAAATGTTGGGCTGTTTTCCCCATGTTTTCCCCACAAGTCATCATCTCTGGTGACGCACGCTGACGTCCTCAAGTTTCTCTTAAATTCACCAGGACAAATCATGTCGGGTATTGTGAAATCATCTCGAAAATCTTCATCATCGTCATCATGATCAGCATCAGCGTGAAGTACCTTTCTCCAACAGCCTCAAAAACATTCAGCGTTGTCTCCTGAAGGCAAAAAATCCTCAAGAACTAAGTCTCATTTCCAGTGGAGTCCAACTTAATCCGAAGTAAAGAAACAAACCATTGCAACCCATCCCTCTTATGTGTAAGTCTCCTACATCCACCATTGCATGTTGTTGGGTGTTTAATATGAACGGGCGAAGGGATTACATCGCTGAAAAATCCCTGCGTTTAAGGCTGAAATCCCAAGAAATTTATTCATCCAGAAAGAGACTTTATTACAGTAAGTTCCATTAAATTCACCACTAGAATCCATAAAAAATCATTTACCCTCTGGTTATTTAACATAGCCATGGAAAATGGCCCATTTATAGATGGTTTACCTGGGTTTACCTATTAAAAATGGTGATTTTCCATGGCTATGTTAAATAACCAGAGGGCAAAATAGTTTCAAAATCCATTTAAAATTCGTTAAATTTGATTCGAAATCCAAATGTTCTTAAATGTCCGTGAAAAATTTCATCAATCTCCGGGATAAACATGATAAACACCACACAATGAAGATATGTCCCAACCCCACCAGGTTTTGGTGTTGAAAAAAATAACCGCTGGGTCTCCTGCATGGCCGGCGCCCCAGGAAAGCCATCGTCATAGACACAGCACAGCCACTCGAAAGGCTCCACATCGCTACGTTCCAGACCTGACGGTCAATAGCTGGTGAACATGGAGAATCGATAAGGATAAATAAATGGTTATATACTAGTGGTTATAATGATGGTTATAATGATGGTTCTAACAATTGTTCTTAATGAAGAATCTAAGAATGGTTATCCATGAACATTAAATGGTTCCATTTCTGTGGCTTTTGATGGTTTATAGTGGTTAATAATGCTAAATATTGATCAATCATGGTTAGTCATGGGGATATTTCATGGGAGAACATATATAAATAGACCCAACTTTCATGTGGTTGGGAAACTCCGCTCGTAGCTCCTTGGCTCCCCAATTCTAAGAGAATATATGTATATATATGTATAGATATATATTATATATATATGTATAGATATATATTATATATATATATCCGTAGCTCCGAACCCCTCCAGGTAGACACTGGAAAAAACTGTTGGCTACTGAAAAAAAAAAATGTTCACCCCTACTCTCCACACTGGAAGAAAAAGCTTAAGACACTGGAAAGGAAAAATAAGAGTCTGTACTTTGAGCATTTTTTGCAGCTGAAATCTCTTATTGGTACAATATGTGCACGTTTGGGGAACTTAAACATGCAATTTGCCTGGTATTTGAAGCTTTTTTGCCGTGTATTGCTCAGTTTATTTCATCACTGATTCATCATGGAGGCCCAGTCCAAGACAGAAAGAATTCCAACTTGGAAATCTTACCTTCTGGTTATTTAACAGTTAACAGTTCGCCATGGAAAATCACAATGTTGAATAGGTAAATATGTTAAATTAACTATTTCTATGGGCCATCTATACCATGGCTATGTAACAAATAACCAGAGGGTATCCTTCATAAACATCCTAGTTATCCAACATCATATCCATCTAGACTCTAGACATCAAGATAGAATAACCAGAGGGTATTCTATCAGATTATCACCAGCCCCATGTCATCCAAGAAATGCTTGGCCTGTGGCCAGTCCAAGCAGAAAAACAGCCCGCTTAGCCTGTGCAATCGATGCCGTTGCTTTTGCAAACCACCTGTAAGACGTCCACGTTGATCCACCTGAACGGCGTGAACAGCGTTGGTTGAAAAAGCCAAAGAGATCTTTTTGGTACTGGTAATATGTAATATGATTTTATTCGTGTGCCATGATTGATATGATTTCTGTGTAATATATATATATAATGTGTTTATGTGTTGATGTGATATCATTTATGTGATATCAGATATTTGGATGTGCAAAGAAATACAAAGAACATGGTTAGATCCCCATCGGTTAGACTAGACACTTAATAGGAATCTAGGGGAATCTGTACTGCTTGGTTACCTAGCATTGTGATTCATATACTGTTCATAATGGTTAATATATGGGTATTATATGGGTATTATATGGTTATTATATGGTTAATATATGGTTATTATATGTTTATTGTATGGTTATTATAGTTACTATGATGGTTAAGAATATTCTGCTTGGTGGTGCAATAACCATCTTGAAAAATGATGGAGTTCGTCAATGGGAAGGATGACATCCCATATATGGAAAATAATTCATTCATGTTTGAAACCACCAACCAGGAATAATAGTGCATTCCACTGTATACTATTTAGATCCTATTGGCTTTGTAATTCCTTGGTTTTCACCGGTCTTGATACGGAAAACTGGTGGAGAACTCCAGCAGCTGACTCGACATGGACATGTGACATGGGATCTCAAAGAAACCGAGGTGTCTTATATCTAACCATAAACCCCATGGTTTCCAATTTGTCATTTTCATTGTGGTTTAACTACATCAACTACACATGTTTGAACCTCATGTTGTTCTAGTAGCCCATCGCATGAAATACTTCTTAGTTGATAGCTTTCCCAATAAATTAACCAATCAACTAGGGTGGTTTTAATGGCACATATGGATTACCTTTCCGAAAACAAACATAGACCCTTCCCCACCAGGCTTGGAATAATCATTGATATTGCAAACAATTATTGTAGGCACCACAATGTTCCAATATGTTTGAACCTAATCATTGACTATATATCTACCTATATTAACTGTATATCAAACTACATACTATATTAAGTATATAGTCTCTATTGATATTACTATTTATAATCTACCATAGTAATATTACTAATATTACCTATATTAACTATATTCACTATATATCTAATCTTCAACTAATAGTATATTTAGCTAATGTGAGTATTACTTTGATTATTTACTATATATATATATATATTACTGTAACTATATTCTTCCCTATCAATATTAATTGAGTCCACCACATGGGTATGGCTCAAGGTTGGGCTACCCCAAGAATTGGATGCTCAATACTAATTTTAAACATAAATTGGGTACCCCCAAGAATTGGATTATATATAATTGGATGGTTCATACTAAACATAGACATTCCAATCTCTGGTCCCGCCCTTGACGCAATAGCCACACTTCCATCCCCATCCGCACGGCGCGCCAGCGCATCCTGATGACTGGCTCAATGTGGCCGTCCACTGTCAGCTGAACCAGCTCCGGTTCGGTCTGGCGCCGTCGTTAGAATAACTATAGTGATCATATTGAGGTACAATAACTGGAAACTATACCATGAATATTAATGATGGTATTAATATTAATAACATTATAACATTAGTTATATTAATAGTATTATTATAGGTAGTAAATAACTATTGTATTAATAACTATTGTTGTAATAATATTTGGAACTTTCAAGGTGCGGCCCCCATATTTTCGCTAGCAAAACCATGGGAAAAATGGTGGCTTTCACCAAGAAAAAATGATGAACATTTGCCTTGGTGAACGTTTGGGGTTAGATATAATGAACTAGTTGATGGATTTGCACAACTTATGGAAATCTCACCAGAGATCACAGAAATGATGAATATACTGGGAAGAAAAAAAATAGAGCATATCTCAAAAATATCTCAAACATCATTGAGAAACAAGGGGAGTGTTCACGAAAAATCGGAGGATCAGCCCAGAAATCGTAAGTGGTACAGTGGTAGGGTTAGTTGAGCCACTTACAATTGGGATACCATCTGGTAATTTAACATGGCTATTGAAAATACCCCATTTAGTTCGTTGATTTACCTATTCAAAATGGTGATTTTCAGCTATGTAAACGTTTACCAGAGGGTAAGGGTTATTAACTGTACGTAGCTCCTAGGACCTTGGATGTTGATTCATGAAGATGGATAAAAACATCTCGATAGCCATGGCTCCCAAGCGCTCCCTCCTAGAAAAAACCACTGGGTGATCACCAAAGTGGTGGATATTTATTGGTAAAATCCAGGGATATTTCATGACATATGATGGGATATGACGGGGTGTATAACTAGCAATTGGAAACACATTGGAAACCAACCAGCGAACAAATTGAATTAGTTCATAATAAT